TTGAAGTTATTTTTTATGAGATAGTTCGGCAAACAAGCTTTCGGATTACCTGATGGTAAGCAATCGGCAGCGCTCATGGACACCCGCAGCACCAGGAGCGCCCCACCACCTGGAGTTATGAGTGCGTTGCCGGCCTTTTTGGGATAAGTATTTAAGTATTTGGGCTATTTAAGGGTTGGGAATGGGAACGGAGAGGGATCCGGTAACCCCACTTACCCGGCGAAGCATAACACTGACCCTGAAGATAATTTAAGACTGAGAAAACGGAATACATTATTTTTTTTACTTAATACATTGATCGCCTGATGGTAAGCTTTTTAATTCTTTTTGTCTGATTACGGGGTCCTGAAATTTTCGACACGCCTAGCTTTTTGAAGAAAAGTGCTAGAGAATGTGGGGTATGTTACCTAACTAGAACTGCTTGTCCACCTCGTTTCCCGAATTCTCACCAATGGCTCCATCCAAATGTGGACCGTATGAAATCATATTTAGCGATAAGACTGCCCGTAGTACCTACATATTAAGTATATCGTGCATGTTTGTGTTGTTTGTGCAAAAACAACGCTAATGGAAAGAAACGTGTTCTGCATGGCACCAAAAATATATAGGTAGTAAGCTCCCAAAATTATGGAGGGAACAAAATTTGCAAACCCTTAAAAAGACATTAAAACAGTATTTGGTTAAGAAGGCATACTATACCATATTTGAATTTTAAAATGATAAGATTTGACTTCGACATTTTTTAAAGATTACACTTGGATTAATTTAATTGTAATTTGTATATTGTAATTATTTTAACTGTAATGTAATTGTATTGACATTAATGATTGTACTGATGACTATAACTGTAATAACTAGATATTATGTGGATAATATGAAAATAGAATTGTATGATGTAAAGACAAGATTATTTTAGTAATAATTGTGTTTTTGGAGGTTTCGTGCAATTATAGTATATAGTTTATAGAATAATATTAATTTTATCTGGTATTTAAGTGTATTTTTTTTTGTTTGTAAAATTGTATTTGTATGCCGGTGACAGCTTGACATAGCGTTCAATTAGGAGTACAACATTATCTGTAACTAGGTAAATAAGTATCTACCTATTTTCAACAAATAAATTATTTTGATTTTGATTTTGATTAAAAAAATCCTTGCCGATGCCACAGCACCAAGTGTGAGGGAGCCATGCTTCAGCACCAATGGGTCGGCTGGCTCGACCGTAGGTACTGATACCATGACCTCAGAGAAAACCGGCGTGAAACAACCACAGCGTTATATTGCTTATCGGAAGCCCAAACCTTCCCCAATCCCTAAATCTCCAAAACCGTAAAGAACTCGTAAATCCTCCGTTGATAATGTGAGTGTCTAAATCTAGGTATCTTTATTATGCAACAAAGAAATTGAGTAAGCACATATGAACAAAAAACGCATCACACCTAAGTTCATGTTTCAATCACGAATAACTTGTTTACGAAAGTGAAATGATATTGCAGCTGATAGAAAACGCTTTTCTATTGTTTTAATACGTGTTGAGAAAGCGCTCACAAGTCTTCGTAAACCTGGACCTATGTATCCATCATCAGCCTATACCTAAGTGCCGACTGCTGAGCAAAGGCCTCGTTTCATAATCATAATCGAAATCTGGAGATATTATTACTACTGACACTTTGGTAATTGATCAGTAAGAAACCTACTTAAGATTAATACAATTGGGCAGTTTCCTAGGTCAAAACTTAATTATTTCGACGTTTCAATACAATAAAATATTGATAAATAACTATAGGTACTTTTATTCATCGATCGATCTTTCGATCGACATTAAGTTTTAGCCAATTATTAAGAAAAAAGTAAGCTATTTTATGCAAAAATACAATGACGTCATAACTCAGTTTTTCATACAAATTTTATAGAAAAGTATCGTTTTTAACATTTGGATAAAAGAATTGAATTTGATTATTGGACACTACCGTATTCTATAAAGAAGGTTAGTAGATGGTCAAGCATACGAACAAAACTCTGGCGCCTAACAAAATTGTTTTAGCAACGCACGCATGATAAGTACCTAGGCTTCGATAAAATGTCAGGCGAGGCGTTTATTTATTTTTCTTTGTATTATTATAAGTCAGTATGTTATAACACTATAATAAATTATTATTTATAAATAATAAAATATTTTTTATACCACAAAAAACTATAATTAGTAGAGAAACAAATGGCAAAACTATGTTTCCGCCCGGGATCGAACCGGGGACCTTCTGCGTGTTAGGCAGATGTGATAACCGCTACACCACGGAAACTCATACGTGATGGAACGAAATTATGCTTCTTTAAAATTATGTAGTAAGATTATCAATATACACTTTTTTTTGACTAACTTTGTTTAAACTCAATACATTGAAACAAGATTTCTTACATTTTACTCTCTCTATAAGACTAGTAGACCTAGTATTGACTACGCATATGTGAGCGCCATGTTCGAGATGACAAAGGATTAAAATTTTATGATAGGTCCCATCATTTGTTCTTTTTTTACAACTTGTCTCTGCATTGTTCTCACATAAGGGGACAATAATGTACCTATACTAAATGTTATATTATTGAAATTGTAAAATAATATTATTTTTTTAAAGAGTAAGGATGTAGTTTCTTGCTCGTTCTTCTCCATTCTAATCTACAATTTGGAATGAGCACCTAACTTCACTGACGAGCAGACTGACAAACTACTTCTCTATTTTGACGTTTCAAAAGTACCTACCTATTTATGGTTTGGTTAGAATATTGTAAATGATTTTGACTTCGACTAGTTGTAAGTTTAAATGTTATTGTCTCTTGTTCCTTTTTTCGTAAAATTATAAAATACAAAATAGAACTTGGATAGCTACTAAACTATCATATCAAATAAACGTCAATATAAGTACATACTTCGATCATATTATATTCTAAATATTTGATCGAAGTACTCAGAATATTTGATCATACATAGAATTACTTCTTTCTACTTTTACCATACCTGCAAATAAGATCTTCAAAAGATACGCAAATAGTTTCAAACAAAGCGTTTTATTACAGTAAAAAAAATACAAAATATAAATACATAGACAGTAGACACACTATACATAGATACATTTTATATATAACACATTTCATAGTTAAGCTCACATTAATTATGTTCTAGTTGTTAGCATTCCATACTTACCTACATTTATTTAAAAATAATAAAAACTTTTTTGAAAAGCAAGGAATGATTTTTGTAATGAGCAATATTGATATGATAAAAATTTTGAATACAGATTTTTTTCCTAATTCTTTTTTTAGCCTATGGTAGTCAACACAATCGCGAAATCTTTGGGGCTAGATATTTGGAAATTGGGGCATTTATGAATTGGGCTTTGGGAGGGAGAGAAGGGCAAATAGAATAACATTATTATTTGTTTTATCTAATCTATTAGTTTAAGTTTCCTAAATGTTTATAACTGAATAAATTTTGTTGTCAGTTCCTAGCCAAATATCAAATACTATAAAATAGGACACAGCTAAGGATGTCATTCACTGATCTTAGATGTTAAGTTTTTTTTATTAATCTATCTGACTCTAGCAATATTATGAAGACAGCATAAAATTATTTTCAATTTTTCCTACACTAATTTCTATCTTCTATTATATATATTTTTTTAATTTTCTTACTATATTGTTGTAACTTTGGACTTGGATATTTTTAGTTAAGTATACTTTTTTTTCTAACTACAGCATTTCTTTTTTTAATGGAATTTATTTATTTACTATTTACCTACTTAATTTAGACACTTTTTGCAGAATATTAATATATTATGTACTTGTCACAAATTATTAATTATGTCACTCTTAGTAGTTTCCTTAATACGACTGAGAGCCTATCCACATAGTGGAATTTTAACAAAAGATTTTTTTTCGCAACCCAATCAAAAACCCTATGATGGTGAAAAAAATTCACTAGTAAGACTAATTTATATTGTAAATGCGTTTTTTTTCTTTTTTATTGAATTGGAGCAATTTTATGGTATGTATTTCGTAAATAATTGATAGTGTATGATTGAAGGCTAGAGAGTTATATAGGGTATTCGGCTGTCTAAACAAGTTCAGTAACATTAATAGTTATCGCTATAGAAACAAACAAATGTATTATGGATTGAAATTAAATTAATTTTACATGCTTTACCTTTATAGATTCTCAATACTGGACTTGGCTAGGCAGCTGTTTTCATTAACATAAGGACAGTCACAGTAAATAGCTCATATTTATTATACAACATGCATTGACTCCATAATTATCACTTATATCATTAGCAAACGCTAAAATTTCAGTTTACTCTTATATTATAAACAAAAGAGTTTTAATATTATTAGAATTAAGCAATCAATGAAGACTATCACCATAGTTGATACTGCTTAATAACTGCCATGATGGGGTTCTTGATAATTTTGAAACAAATGTATATTCAATTTTGTTTTTGACCTTATATAATTTCTAATTATAAGTTAGAAATCGCCAGTCCGCCTTGAGCAAGTGTTGTGATTAATGCTCAAACCTTCTTCATGTGAGAAGAGGCCTTTGCTCACTTTTAGGCTGATGATGATGATGATATAAGATACAACAGAGAATTGTGCATGTATATACAAGATTTAAGAGACTGACCCCTGATTTTGTTTTGGCATTTCTTCTTAAGAAATGCTGGCTTCATATACATTTTTTAAACTAAAAAGAATTGATTGATACATTGTTTCACTGCTATCAATTAAGTTTCTATTATGATTATCAATATATTAACCTCTAAACACTCACAAGGGAAAATAATCCTTATTGACTTCTAAATCGGCCATTTAGAAGCAAAATTCTACATAGCAACTTTCTGCAACAGATAAAGTTTGTTTGTTAACTTTGTCAGTGAATGTCCTTTAATGTCATTCTTCTTCTTTAAATTACTTCCCTATAAGACCAACTGAAACTAAAAGTGATGAAGTAAATCTTACATTTTTATTTATTTTACTTTTCATACTGCAAGCAAACATCAACTCTAGTGCAGCCATTGATTTCAATTCATCCTATCTATCCATTTAAGCATGTACAATTCTAGATATAGCTACATAACTATGTTTAGTATCCATATCATAGTATCCAACAGGTCCTGCGTCACAATCTGCACAACTCAAGTACTTGCAATTAGCTACAGTGTGCGTAAAACCAATGTTTTCAAACGTATACATGTTTTCGACATGGTAGAACTCATTTACAGCCTCATTTTGTATCTCTCCTTCTTTTCTGTTGTTGTCTTGCTGCATTAAAGGAAGTTCTTTCTGTAAATAAATAAATGATGTATTAGAAATATCTGTTATGGTATGTTGGTGGGTATTCTTATAGTAATTTAGTATAAGCTGTAATCAATTTAAGTGGTCTACTGTTACTGTTTTCTAAAGGAAGTAGGATCTTACACTATTTTTTTATTCTATACACAGATAAACATTATGTTTTGCAAACTCTTAAACCACAGATACATGTAGTAAGACAGATACATGTTATTGGCAGATAATTAGTCTTTTACAAGACATAGATGGAAAATAAAGTGGCAAAATAAAAGTACAATGTTTGAATTATTACCTCTAATGTCATATACTTCGCTGATTTCTTGTCTAATATCTTAGATCCACAGAATTTGCACTTGACAATCAACTTGTTTTTCCCATCTTCAACGTAGTCTTTCTCTTCGCCTTCAACCGGTACGACTTTATTTTCGACTTCAGACATATTGTACCGATATAAAACTTTGTATTTCAGCTACTATTTGTATAGAAAGTTCATTTGAAATTATAATTTCATGCAAAAGCGAAAACTATATAACCGGCTCGCTTAGCTGCTGAATTTCCAATTTGACATTTCTGAATATGTAATGTGCTGTCACTGTCAAATTGCATTGAATCACTGATGAGTTTGTTATTATTTTTGTATTATTTTTTAGATTCCTGTTATCATAAATTGCTTACGAAATAAGAGATGTATTTTTTATCAAATAAAAAATGTACAGGAATTTATTCTTCAATAATTTAAAAATAAAATTATAGTCTATTGACATCTTTGGCATAATATAAACACTTCCTTTGCCTGACAGTTACCAATCAAAATCAAATTGACTGAAAAAGTTAGGTTATTAGAAAAAAGTGTGAGGTGCAGTGTTTTATATCGTGGAACTATTATTTTATTTCATTAAAAATGAGTTCTGGATTTATATCCGAAAGTGAAATATTAGAAGCGAGAAGAAGAAGGCAAGAGGAATGGGAAAAAGTTCGTACAGCTGACCAGCCAGAAGGTAAAATACCAGAATTTGTTTTGATCACATAAGGCTCATTCATCATTGTTACGTTTGGCATTGATAAAAAACGAACGCTATTATATTTTCGAGCGATATCTTTGGGCTGCCTTCTATATACTTTTAATTATAATTATTTTAATCCTGTTTTTTAATTACTAGTAACTTTAAAATGCTTATTTCTTGTCGTGTTATTCGCATGACAAACGAAATGAGTGCAATAATGCATGAAATAAATCGTATAATCGTACTTATCGCATGTTTTTATTGCGGCATTCATTTTTAATTTATCTTTCTTTTAGCTCAACAATCGTAAGAAACGCTTAAATAACTTTTCAGATTATGTCTTGAAAGTAACAAAGTCCTTATTTTGTGAGCAATAAAGTCGGTTTTCGTTGAATAAATTTATGACGGACATACGGTTGAGTTGAGTTGAGACATACTCTTTGTAAATCAACATTGTTCATTTTCTTTAGGTACCTTGTTGGAAAATACCATAAATATTATTAGTGTGGTGACATTTTTTGTTCAAATGTGTGATATAGACAACCTTTTTTTTTAAAGTAAACAAAGCCTTTTGTCTCAATTTATCATTCAGTATTAATATTAATTATTATACTATATAAATTATTATTTTAATATTAATGAATTATAAATAATTTTAATGTTATGTGAAATCTCATTAAACACAAAACAAAATTATGATATTGAATTGAAATTCTCAAAACAATTTCAAAATTAAATGTTATGCTAATAAAGATTTATAATTAAATGTTGTAAGTAATGTAGTGAAGGTAGTACATTAATTTTTAAGACATATTTTTATGGTATATTGTCTGTTGTGTGGATTAATGCAATTTAGACCTTATCAATGAATACATAGTTCAGTTTATTATTTCTGTCAGTTAAATTTTATATGTATATTGAACTAGTTTCTCCCAGAGGACTAATCAAGGTATAAACTAGCTGTTGTATTATTCAAGACTATACCTAGTCTTGAATATTATAATTTCATGCAAATTATATCTCTGTGCCAAATATTATTTTGTTTTTGTTGCTGCAGTTTCTGGGCAACTGGCTGTCATTCAACATGTTTGGGTTAGACGGAACATTTTGTGTGATGTGATCCATAAGTTGTTTTTCTGGGGCTAGGTGTGTTGTGTACGTGAAATTATATGTTTGAATGAACCTACAACAGGATAAAAACCTAGTGCATCTAATCTCGAATGTATATTTATAAAAAAAAATATTGCTTTGGCCAAAGACACCACCACCTACTACGATCAGGATTGGGCATTCAATAATGTCACTCACACAGTGAATCATAACCCAAATATTGTTTTTGCTGCTTTTCTGTGAGGCCATGATATCATTCTGGTAGGTAGACCCATGCCATAACATGGCTCTCCCACATTTAGGATATTATTGTCATAATGCCATTGATAATGGTACCATTTGTTATTGTACATTATAAATTCCAATAGCATTCCTATTGTTATCAAACTTAAACAAATGTGATACTCATTTCTATAAAGCCTTTATCATTGAAATCTCAACTGTATTGTCCCCTTTCTAAGCTCTAATTCTATTTACCAATATAAATCTTCCATTGACTAGGCATAAACGGTGGTATTCAAGGTCTCAGTCTAACCTAGAAGTATTAAAATATTGATTTATATATTTAGAACGAAAATAACAAATACTAAGAATGTTTTAGTGATAGTATGGTATGGTTTTCAAAGTATTTATTTGAATAAATCCACTTTTGGAACTTCAGAATAGATTTGTCTATCAGCCTGTGCATAAGGAGCTAGATAGTCATCCCAAAATATAGATCTGTATGAAGAGGAGAACACACAAGATATGTCTGGTATGCACATGTCTGGGTGCGTTATATTATGCAGCCTGTAACTTAAATTCAACTTCATTGGCTCGCGTGAAGATGTCCCTTTACCGTAAGCGTAGGTCTGAGGACGGCGTAATTATCGCGATCATTAATGGCATTTCCCCTTAGTGTGGCCCAAGCATAAGAGCCTTACTCTCGCTCTTGCCATAACTACCCTCGGTGAAAAAAGCTTTGTTCCTTTCATTGAAATTGGAACAGTAGTTTCTATGATTCTTTTGTGGAAGTACTTATGTGCCCCACTTCAAGCACTACAAATAACGTTATTACATTGTTCGACGTGCCAGTACTAACTACTAAAGAGGGAAGCCTTAGTCCAATAATTTGTTACTGATCATTATATTGTTATTATTATTTTGTCTAACAGAGGCACCAGAAGAGCCTTATGACACGCGGCCGCTATACCAGCGCTTGGAAGAGCAACGGCTGAAGAAGGAGGCCGAATACGAAGAGGCACACAAGCTCAGTAAGTTGGTCTTTAACTATCAAATGTACAAGAATCTATGTCAGAGTTGCTATAATATAGGCCATATCCGAGGTTGCGGATCGAGCTCATTAATGTATCGCGGTCTCGGCCTGGACCAGGAGAAGGAACGGGGTGGTTTTCAATCAGTAAGAGTCTGAACGGAGTGAGTTCACTTTCGAACCACCCAGGGCGACAGAAGTAACTTAAAAGAAGAATCCCCCTCCCCTTCAAAAATACCAGAACCTATGTATGACAATGTATTTGTGGTATACTAGCTACTCTTGCGAGGTTCACCCACTGCATGCTCCATCTGCGGCTCCATTTGATCGTAGCGTGATGTTTTATAGCTTATAGCACTCAGGTACATTGTAGCTATCTATCAGTGAAAGAATTTTGGCAATCCGACCAGCAGTTCCGAAGATTAGCCCTTAAATACAAACTTACAAATTTTACCTCTTTATAATATTAGTATAGATGTATATGTATGTGACGCCAACACCTTCAAGCCATGTGTAAGAGACAAATAAGAATAGAAGTGATAAAACATGAGAACAAGACTTTTTGAAGATGTAAATGTACCATCTATTTGCTTTGTAGTGACCGTGCATTCAAATACAGATTTAATTTCAACAACAAATTGTTTCTTTACAGAGAACATGATTCGTGGTCTAGATGACGATGAGGTCGGGTTCCTTGACCTGGTGGAACGCTCAAAGGCTAAAGCAGCTCAACAGATCTCTATTGAGGAACAGAGGGAAATGCAGGAGTTCAGGTAAGGAGGTCTTGCACCTGATAGCTTAAAAAGAGAGTAGTAGTAGTAGTTAGATAGAAAGAAAGAGAGAAAAAAAACTGTCAGAATTTAGGATTTTTTTTTTATTATTCCATATATTCATTTTAATACCCTACAATTACATTTTTAAATATTACTAAAAAAAAAAAAACAATAAAGTAATATTTAAAATATAAAAATAGGAGTCAGCCGGTAGCGGGAGCAAGGTCCAAGCCACCGGCGGTTAGGGCTCCAGGTTATTATTATTAAAAAACGTTGTCCCTCACTAGGATTTTCTCGTGGGTGCGTTTAAAACATACAATTTCACATACACATCACACCCAGACTCGGAACAACAATTTGTGGATCACACAGAGAGTTGTTCCGTGCGGGACGAATCGAACCCGCGACAAAATTTTTATCTTTACCTGATGACTTAATTATTTGATTGTGTGTGAAAAACTTTAAACAAAGGTGTTTTTTAACGCGATAAAACTTTGTCTTTAATTTTATGTGAATTCAATATTATAATTTTCCCATTATAGGGAGCGGGTCTCCAACTTAGCGGAGAGCGAGGAGTTGACACGACTGCGCGCCCAACTTGCGCCGTCGCGCAATACACAGGCATCGACCCAAGCACAGAACACACAGAAAAATAAACTGCAAGGGGTAAGGAATTAAGGATCTTTACTTAAAATTAGCTACTCTCGCGCGGTTTCTCCCGCTGCTCGGCTCCAATTAATCGTAGCGTGATGTTTTATAGCCTATAGCATTCAGGAACATTGGAGCTATCTATCAGTGAAAGAATTTTGGCAATCCAACCAGCTGTTCCAAAGATTACTCCCTACATACAAACTTACAAATTTTACCTCTTTATAATATTAGTATAGACTAGCTTCCGCCCGAGTGGTATGTTGATAAAAAGTAGCTTATGTCCTATCCCGGAGTGTATCCTATGCCTGTGCCAAATTTCATCCAGATCCGTCCAACCGTTTTGGTGTGATTGAGTAACAAACAACCAAACATCGTAACTTTCGCATTTATTACATCCAAATTAATATTATAAATGCGAAAGTAACTTGTATCTGTCTGTCTGTTCTTCACGACTAAACTACTGAACCGATTTCTGTAAAATTTGGTGCAGACATAGTTGGGAACTCGAGAAAGAACATACGATAGTTTTTAAACCAAAAATTGCCAAGTCACTATTTCACGCGAACGGAGTCGCGGGCAAAATCGAGTTAGTAATAAAGTAATTTACAATTACAAATTACTAAAGAAATGTAAAATCTAAAAATTCATTAAAGATCCGAGTGCAAGATACAAGATATTTATTTGAAACATTGTATACACTCATTGTAGCATGCAGGATGGTCAATCGGGTTACATAGGTCCATCATTTTAGGCCGTGGTATCACTCCGGTCGGGCTTACCCATTCGTCCGTAAGCATACTTGGCCCTCCCACACTTCATGAATAATAGTCCCGAAAGACTTGAAACTAGTAGAACTCACGTCGAGGTCAAAAATTTTAATGAATATTTTCACTACTTTTTAAAATATTCTTTTTTGTGCCTATACATCAATAAAGCATCGTTTCAATTCCGTAGGTGGTGGTGAGGAAACGCAAGGCGAGTGAGATTGATGGCGAGAAGCAGAACAAAGATTCGCCGCCGCCGAAGACTAACGGAATTGTTACTAATAGCAAGTAAGTTGACACACATTTCTCAATCCTTGTTGCTTGAAACTCTTGGCTATGTGCAAAGCGAGTAATGGCGGACAGATAACGACCGCAGCGCACGAAACGGCAGAAATTGGAAACAAATGCGGATGAAGCTGTCGGTTTTTTATTATTATACTAGCTACTTTCGCGCGGTTTCTGCTCAGCTCCATTCGAATTTTGGCAATCCGACCAGCGGTTCCAAAGATTACCCTCTAAATACAAACTTACAAACACACAAACTTTATCTTTTTATAATATTAGTATAGGATTAATTTTACACTAAAACTATTTGACTATTAAATTAAATATTAATCTTTGCTGTTATTTATAAATTTGCAAAGAAAATTATTATGTTTACATTGTTATTATTTGACAGCTTCCGCAAATGTTGTAAACGCTACGCGCACATAGCCAATACTCAATCATTTCAGCTATTCTGAGCGGGTTAAATAATCCAATAAGTCGGTAAACAAGACGGATTACCTGATGGTAAGCAATCAGCGCCACCTTTTGACACTCGTAATACCAAGAGTTAGGTACTACAAGTGCGTTGCTTTGTGGGTTAATAAGGATTTGAAGATGGGGGCAGGAGGGAAGAATTGGTCCTCCGGTAACCTCACTCACAGCGCAACACAACGCTGTGGTTGTTTCACGCCGGTTTTCTATGAGGCCGTGGTTTCACTCAGGTTTAGCCGACCCATGAGTACCGAAGCTTGGCTCTCTCACATTTAAAAATACATATATATTTTTCTTTCATCTCTAGCGATACGCAAAACGGCAATGCAACGACCACCGAGGACTGCGTACTACGCTGTGTGGGCGTACTGCCGGGGCTCGGACACTACGACACTGATTCCACATCCGACACCGATGACTCTAGCGATCATGATTCTGTGAGTATATCTATCTACTTGCATTTTAGTCTATTTTGAAACTTTTACACTGTTCATACCTAAAATAAGAGAGATTTTTATAAACTGTTCAAAAAAATATTTCATTGTTTTGTAAGTTCGCTTACATTTACGGGACCACATGATCCCGGATCTTTGGAAGGCGTACGAGTGCCTGAAGCCCTTTGAACTTAAATGCACATCAGCCGTAAATTATCCATTTATGAACTATGGAAGTGCATCCAAGGACAATTACCGGTTGATGCAGAATGCTATTGTAGAATTGGTTGAAAATGCTCTGGCTCTGGACTGATTGATATGCTATGAAAATACTATGGTCCTGAAATTATTTTTTATTAGTTAGTCAGCGGCAAGTCTATACTAATTCTATAAAGCTGAAGATTTTCTTTGTTCTCCGGAACTACTGTTTCGAAATGAAATGTACTTTTCGTGTTTGTTAGTCCATTTAGCGAGGAAAGCTATAGGTGATAAAACATCACGCTATGATCTACAGGAGGCGAGCAGCGGGTGAAACCGCGGGACAGTAGCTAGTATCATATAAAATATCCCGCTTATTACCGTAGAGATATAGGTTATGAGTGTTTGTTCCCTACTGACTCAGTTCGTTGTATCCTTTTTTTTTATTTATTTATCATTTTTACAAATATTACAGGATTATTTATGTTAAATAGCAACCAAAATCAATCAATCCAATCATATATTGTCGTATGACATGCATGCAGCATGTCACACAGGAATGTTGACTGCACGGTTAGCGCGGTGGCTGGGCAACTGACTGCCGCGCAACGTGTAGCGGGTTCGATTCCCTCACGGAACAACTCCGTGTGTAATCCACAAATTTGTTTCGGGTCTGGGTTTGATGTGTATGTGACATTGTATGTTTGTAGACGCACCCACGACACAGGAGAAAGTCCTAGTGAAGGACAATGCTTCTGTTAAAAAGAATAAAATAAACTAATTATTCATATTTAAAATTCTCAGAACGACAAATGCTGTGCCAAGCGCGATATGTTGGGGCGCCGACACGAGGACAAGTCGAGGAAAGATGACAAGAGCTAGACTTTGCACCGCATGAACTCCCCTATGTTATGTGATCTAATATAAGTTATCAATAGTACATATTATAATTTTAACATTATAGAACTTGTTTTATTTGTTTACTGTTCCTATAGTTATTACATCACACATCAACAGCTTATAAGTGCCCCCTGCTGAGCACCTGGTCTGGCCTCTTCTTACACGGAGACGGTTTGAGTATTAATCACCACGCTTGCTCAAGGCGGATTGCCGATTTCAGACTTATAATAGACATGGACTTATGTCAAGGTTTTCTCACGGTGTTTTCCTTCATCATGAAGAAATTTGAAATACAAAATTTCCTATTAGATACCCACTCACTGTACTTGATGGTCAAGTTTAGACAGCTACGGACATCGATCACTAATAAAGAACGCTACGGATAACCGATAATAACCATTGGTTTAAATGTCAATTGGTTGTTATTTTGGAGGCTGAGCTTGTTTTAATACCTACTCTTCGAAAACCCAAATCCCTAGAATTTCTGTATTTAATATTCCCTAATAGCCGCGAAACGCTCCGAGAAAAGGATGGTACGGCCGTGCCCTTGACACCGACAATGTTAAGAGCGCAAAATGCCAACTAGGTAGGGAGCAATGTTTTCTCTTCCACACAAGCTAAACAAGCTCGATGGCGTGGCAAATATGTAGCATCAGCTTGGTAAACACATTATCTAAGGCGTTGCAAGATCTTGTTGCTAGTAATAAGTGCCATGTTTCATAGTTATTACAAAATGAATTTTTCATTGTCCTTAACCCTCCAAAGCCCAATCTTTCCCCTCCCCCAATCCCTCCTAAATCCCTAATCCCTAAAAGGTCGGCAACGCACTCGTAACTCCTCCGTTGCGAGTGTCCATGGGCGGCGCTGATTGCTTACCATCAGGTAATACGTATGCTTGTTTGCCGACCTATTAAATAAAAAAAAAAGGTCGACGACGGACTTGGATTTCCTCAAGTATTGAGGTTTTCTATGGTTTTCTCCTCACCATCAAATCACTTTTTTCAAGGGAAGAAATCTTCGTACTGACTAAAAACCATGTTCCTTTTCCTGCACATACTCTTGACCTATGTAAAAAAACTGTCGGACTTAGCTATAGTTTTATTAGGGCTCTGATAAATAAAAGAAATATTACAGAATCTTACAATATAATGGGTCACATCAATAGATAAATGACTACATACACACATATTTACACAAACACTGGCTTGATTGGTAATACATAATGAGAATAAAAAATTAAAATAAAATTCATATATTATATTACTGTTCATTCGAAGCCAGGTATAGGGTTAGGCCTGGCTTCTGTTAATATGCATAATGTACTGTAGGGTACAAATTAATATGGATCACCTACTAGTAAGCAATTAGAATCGCCAATGGATGAGCAACATGCAAGAAGAACGTTGCCTGCCTTTCCGGGTGTAGGGATTCGAGGATTGGGGGATTGGAGATATGGGGATAGGATTAAGGGATTTGAGGGGAGGGAGAAGAATTACAGGATTAGAGAGAAGGGGGAAGATTTGGGCCTTCGGTAACGTCACTCACAAACAATATTGTAACAAACAGAAACAACGTTGTGGTTGTTTAACGCCGATATTCTGTGATACCGTGGTATCACTCCGGCCAAGCTGGCCAATTCGCACCAGGCACTCGTGCATAAAAATCAGTCAAAGTTACAAAACTTAAAAATAATATTACGTAAGTGTCAAATAATGCATGCTATCATCGGAGGGTTTGTCCGGTATAGTACCGGTCACTGGTTTGATACCAGCGTCAGGCTTGAGCATACTCGGTTCAATATCTGGTAAACTGCTATCTGAATCCTCTTCACTAGTTGATTCACCTTGTTCCACTGATTTTGGTAATTCTTTACCTTTTCTTCGGACTCTGTAACATACAAAAAGTATTTTTTAAATGAACAGGCGGATTATCTTTGGTTTTTGACATTAATTTAAAGGCTTTTCTGCACTAAGTGGTGCGAAATGAGGGAGTGTCAGACTCTTACTGACTAAAAACCGACCCGTTCCTTCAGTGCCGGCGTTAAAGTGGTAGGGCGTAATAGGGCGATGTCCCAGGGCGACAAATTCTCGGGGGCGCCAAGGTCTGAAGTTGGAGTCTCTTGCATCTCCTGGCAAAACCTCAGAACTGTGCTCTACGCTCTGTGCATATGCATATTTTTTATTGAGATTATTTATCAATACGACCAGCAAAAAACTAATACGATACTAATAAGTACTATGATAATGCTTCCCTCAAGTGGGCGCCATAGTATTTTCGGCCGGGGTGTCAGTGCGTTCCTTCTGCTGTGGGCCAGGCCCAAGGTACATTTTTGCGCTTGCACCCACAACCCCGTCTGGACAATGGCCTAAGTGGGCCCCATACGTGATGGTCTGATGGGTTTTAGTAGCGCGCACGAAGCACCTTGCGCCGTGCTCTCAAGTGGATCCCACCCTTATTCGTCATCCGTAGACTCGCGAGGAAAGATTGCCAAGATTTTCATGTGTTTTTAAATTTAATAAACAAACAAACATGGCCTGCACTGTTAGTGCGGTGGCTGGGCAACTGGCTGTCGTACAACGTGTCGCGGTTTCAATTACCGCACGGAACAACTCTTTGTGTGACCCACAAATTGTTGTTCCGGGTCTGGGTGTCATGTGTATGTGAAATTGTATGTTTGTAAAACCGCACCCACGACATATGAGAAAATTCTAGTGTGGGGCAACGTTAATTAAAAAAGGAAATAAATACATTTCGGCCATCAATATACAAACACCCATTTAGCACAGTGCTGCCATCTCTTATATACAAACAGAACTAATGAATGTAGAAGAAAATAAAAAGCAACTTACCGTTTCGGATATGGCTCTTTAAGATGAAATGTGCGATAGTGTAACTTCATACTGTTGCTTTGTGTGAACCGCTTGTCGCATAGAGAACAAGAATAAGGTTTTTCACCTGTGTGCGTCTGAAAAATACGAATAGATTGGTTAATTCGGTAGTTTTCAACTAGTTTTATGGAAATGTCGTAAAGGGTATTTTTCTTTGAATTTTGTGTAAGATTGCATCACATATGACGCCATAATGTTTTAACGTCAAACAGAATACTTATTTTTGAAAGGTTAACTAGAAAAAGTCTAAAATAAAGTATATCGTAATATGAATAGTTGGATGAAACAATGAATTTATTTTTGCAAATAGGCCATAAAACGGCATTTCCTATCTGCTGGATCTTGGGTACTTTGACTTTAATATCACAGTACCTAGTGGGGCCGCTCATTGGACCAGATTAACATTGTCAATGGTTTGATACTGTCTCGACCCTCTTATTTATAGTACAGGGTGACAATGACATTGACAATTCTAGTGTTACAATAATTAGTGTGATTAATTATTAGAGATCATACAACAGGAAACTACCCTATTTTATAATCAATCATGGTTAGATGTTTCTGCATCGCTGGCGAGTTAAGTTATATTAGGTACCTTTAAAATAGACAAGTCATAAACTAGATTAGGTCAAAACTTTACTACTAGCTACGGTCGCGCAATTTTACCCGCTGTTGGGCTGCTATTGGACATAGCGTGATATTTTATTGCATATATCCTTCCTCGATAAATTGACTATCTAACACAAAACGAATTGTTTAAATTGAACCAGTCGTTCCGAAGATCAGCACGGACAAACAAACTCTTCAGCTATATAATACAGAATAGATTTAGGTAAAAAAAAACTAATAAAAAACAGTTTTTTTTTTACTGCAAACACTACACATTTATTATATTTATTTTTAATTACATTTGCTCCACTTACCAATAGATGTCGCTTTAACCCCACAGCGGCGTGAAACTCCCGTCCGCATGTGTCACATCTGTGCACCTTCTCTCTAGAGTGCATGTTCTTATGTGTTTGTATACTGCCCGGCTGAGGAAATAAATAATAATGCTATCTTTCCCCTGATTGAAATGATACATTTAAGTCAAACCAATATAACAATATAAATACGGTAAAACCGTCGCATAAACCAAATCAACTAAACAACTCGTCGAGAAAGTTACTATTGGGCAGATGGTAAAAAAATCTATAATTCAAAAATGGATCCTGTAAAGCATTTTAGAAAATGACACCCAAAAGGTCATATTCTTTATGCGAAGGTTAGTCAGTAAGAGACTGACACTTTCTCTCGCCTTACCTTGGGTGGGAGAGGTCATTTGATGAATATACCATAAAAAATAGCCTCACAGGTACTGTGAATGAGGTTACCGGAGGTCCAATCTTTCCCCTCTCCTTTCCCCCAATCTCTAAATCACCAGATTCCAAATCCCAAAAGGCTGGCAACGCACTCGTAACTCCTCTGATATTACGAATGTCCATGGGCGGCGCTGATTGCTTACTATCAGGTAATCAGTCTGCTCATATGCCTATCACATAAAAAATATAAGTAGTATAAGTACAGAAAGCGATTCAAATATCTTACTGACAAAAAAATAGGCAATAATGAACCATACTGCGTTCGACTTAAGATAGACAGTGTAGTACTTACAGCTAGCGAAGAGCCGCAGATCTCACAGATGTACCTCTGGTTGGGCGGGAAGAATGAAGTGCGCGGATGTTCCGATAGATGGTGTTTCAAACACGCTGACTGGGTCTCGAAGTGTTTTCCGCACTGTAATAGATACACATACAATATTAAAAGCATACTTGAGTAAAGTATTTTTAATAGTTACTAATTAACTATCGCGAGACGCTAAATTTATTGATAACTAGCTACTTCCGCGCGGTTTCACTCGCTGCTCGGCTCTATTTGATCGTAGCATGATGTTTTATAGCCTATAGCACTCAGGAACATTGTAACTATCTATCAGTGTAAGAATTTTGGCAATCCGACCAGCGGTTCTAAAGATTACCCCCTACATACAAACTTACAAACATACAAATTTTACCTCTTCATAATATTAGTATAGACTAGCTTCCGCCCGCAGCTTTTGTTCTTAAAAAGCAATCTATGTGTTCATTCAGAGTGTCTACATACCACATTTCAACCAAATCGGTCCAGCAGTTTATGAGATAATGTATAACATACATACATTTACACATTCCCACAAACCTTTACATTTATAAATGAATACTGAATGCATTATGTCTATCTAGTGTAGGTACAATGATTTGTGGATGAAGTCATTAAATAAATAAATGAAAAATCTAATTGATCCTTAGTTATTGTATTTGCTTTCAACACCATCTCAATATAAATTAGTTATTGTACGCTTCTGTACATTTAACAGGAAGATGTTGTTCAGGTTGAAGTGCGAAGAGAGGTCACGTAGTTTCCGACGAGTTTATTGCGTAAAGTTATGTTTACAACGAAAACTGTTGACGATTCCTTTCTCCAATGTTGGTCACTGCGTAGCAGTATTTGCTCGTTTATTTACCGTATTGTAATACTATTTATGAGAATAAAATTGCCTATATGTCAGTCTTTTGAGATTGTACAGTAATAAAAAAACTCAACGTTATTTCGCCAAGTTTCTTAATTTATTTATTTCTTTTCTTTCTAATTGATTTTCTTACCTGATGACACGTCGTAGGTTTTCTGTGTTCCCGTCTGTGCTTTCTTCTTTTCCTTGCCGTTTTCTGTTCAGTTATTAGAATACTTGAGTCGGTATCCCTGTGAGAAATAATTCCTATTAATTATCTATTATGTAGTTATTAAATATCATTTAACTTTTTTTTTTATTTAAGACTTACCTTTTTCTTAAGCTTCTTGTTATCTGAAACCAAAAAGCAAACTCATCTTTACTAATATCATGTGCCTAAATATTTAAATGTATTTATTGAAAATAACGACCCACATGAATCAACCGAGAAAAGCTCTACTAGTTTCGAGTCACAACGGGACTCTTATTTATGGGCAGCGTGTTCGTCGCGGCGACGGCGATGTCGTTAGTAAGTCGTTATCCATACTAATATTATAAAGAGGTAACATTTTTTATGAAAGTTTGTATGTAGGGGGTAATCTTTGGAACCGCTGGTCGGATTTCCAAAATTATTTCACTGATAGATAGCTACAATGTTCTTGAGTGCTATAGGCTATAAAATATCACGCTACGATCAAATGGAGCCGAGCAGCGGGTGAAGCCGCGCGAGAGTAGCTAGTCTTATATATAAAAATGGATCGCAAAATGTGTTGGTAAGCGCATAACTCAACAACGTCTGGACCAATTTTGCTAATTCTTTTTTGTTGTGTTTGTTATTGTCAGGAGAAGGTTCATATCAAAGAAAATATTAGAAAAGTAGAGGGGAAGATTAGGAAAAAGTAACCCTTGATTAGCGACATAGTTGGACCCGTGCGAAGCGGGGGCGGGCCGCTAGTTTTCAATAAATTCAGAATGTCTTACGATAGTTACCATTCAAAAACATAATTAAATATGTTATTCAGGCGATAATAGCCCATATTATTTCCATATAAATATATACCTTTAAAACTAACATATCGTATGCTTAATGGAATAAATAAAAGGGCTTAATCAAAAAAGAAGACATTTGATGCTTATAAATTACTAGCTACTCTCGCGCGGTTTGGCGGTGCTCGTGATGTTTTATAGCCCATAGCAATCAGAAACATTGTAGCCATCTATTCGTGAAAGAATGTTGGCCAATCCGACCAGCGGTTCCAAAGATTACCACCTACATACAAACTTACAAATTTAACCTCTTTATAATATTAGTATAGATATAATATAGAGATATTTCAGTAATAAGGTTACATTTTGGAATACCCTCTTTTGTGACTTAGTTTCATTTTTATTAAACATGCGATACCTTATGCAAGACAAAACTAGTTAATAAATTAAACCTAAATCTATGTGAGGTACGAATGACGTAGTGCATTGTGTAATGACACTTGTAATACTCAGATCGTGGAGTATGTCCGATCCAAGACCAACTGGACCTTGAGGGTGGCAAAGTTGGAGTCGCGCCACAATACGAACTTTAATTCGTTCATGGTGAGAGTTCCAACCACGGAATAGATAAATAAGGTTGGAAAGGCCCTAGCTCCAATTTTGTATTAGGACCAGTGTCGCCGCTTGTCTCCCACTATTTTAATTTCTACACATACGCACTAGTATGTTTACAAATATTTCGCACACAACCAAATCACACACACATAAATCTCAGGGCAGAGATTCGTTCGCACACTAGCTCTAAGGTCTCGTAGGCATAGACACACACATGCAAAAAAGCTCATACGCGCTAGTGCTTGATAAAGTCGATATTCTTTATCGATAAATATCTGATGAATGCATGGGAAAAAATGAAACATGAAATAAATATTAAGAAATATTTATTTTACTTTTATTAATTACAAATAATCACTGTCCTTGGAATAAAACGTATTTATTAAGCAATTGGCGCTTGCTATCAATGGTTAAAGAGTTTTTCAAAACAAAGTGTAACCTTACGTTAATATATTTTTCAACAATTGCTTTGGTGAGGTCTGTGACGTGGTTTGCTGTAGGGTATTGGCCAATTTGATGATAAATTATGTTTTTAAATATTTCACTTCCTACAAAATGACGCATAATTTTTGCCATCAACATTTTTTTGTTTATATTACGGAGGTTTTCCGTGTAAATTTTGATAACAGACTCTGAAATTTTACAAATCTGTATCAAATCTCTTGACGGGTATAACAGACCACCCTTATCTTTAGCAACTATAAATTTATGGTCTTCATTTATGCTATTGGACAACAGCGCTCCAATGCAAATATCACAATCTATTTTCTTAATTAAAATATGCGCTATGTATCCTGAAATATGGCTAATGATTTGATTGCTAAAATCTGAGATGGTATTGAAAAATGCGTTAATATCCTCTTCATTATTATTATTATCATCATCATCATCGTCATCTTCAATCGCAATCCTTCGTATGGATCTATTAATCCGTGCTACAGGAGATGATGCACAATCAAGAATTGAAATGTGTTCAAGCGCAGTACAATTTCCACTATCGAGAGCTTTTAACTCAATATGAACTAAAAGTTTTTTGTACGCAGCTTTAAACTGGCGGGCCGTGGGGTTATTGTTACCTCCACCATGTGACCTAATATTTCCAAAAAGCATTTCAAGGTGATCCTGGCTTACTTTGTAAAATGGCATAAAAATCAGAACTCCAGGACGTATTAACGTTTCATAAAAATGTTTAACAGCTTCAGCACATCCAATAAAACCATTGAAACCAGTCTTACGTAAACTTTTTGTCAAAAGAGTTCCCTCTTCTGTTCTCAACTCGGATAGGTACGTCGTCGCCATGTCTAAATAATTAAGCAGCATTGCAGCGTTGGATTCTGTTAGAGCTTTTTTGAAGTTATATTCATATGTGTTTCGGGAATTAAAAATGTCGAACATGTTATTGATAATCCTCAAAAAAAATGTTGTGCTTTCACTATTTTTGAATGAAGGTAGATTTAATTGGTCACGACAAAAGTCTATAGCGTCTGCTACACTTAGGCTGAACAATTGCGTTGCGAGCTTAACTTTCATCTTATTATTTTGAAAATGAACATGATGGTAACGAAGCTTGTTCGCTAAATGAAAGCCTTCCTTCATTTGAAGGTTATTTAATTGTTCCAAAAATCGCCATTCTATGGTATTACCATCTTTATCTAAAAATGTGTTATAGCATTGAAAAGCATTACGGATTAATTTTATCATGTGTGATGGGTCTAGCACTACAACAACTGGATTATTCGTTGACGGGTGTGGAAAAGAAATTTTTTTATCTTTGATTGAACAGTTTAAGCATTCTACCATTGCAATGTTTGCAGCGCATCCATCAAAAGTTAGGGAAATTATTTGTATGCCTGTTTCTGCTATAAGTTCCAAGCATTGTAAAATTAAGTCTGCGCGTTGTCTTCCGTTAATTCCGTCAACTAAGAAATATCCAACGGGAACCTTAAAATTACAATTTATGCCTGTCACCAGAAATACCAGAGCCTCTTTGGCTATTCCTACGTGGTCTCCTTCGATGCCACTGCCAATATCAACATGTCCGAGTAATTTTTTTCCATCCCATTCTATACGACGACGTATAGCCATTTCATCCAAGGAAAGGGCTGCAATAATGGGATATTTCGTGCTTTTCACTTTTATTTTTAACGCCTCTATGGATTCTGCAGTAAAACCAGGATCACCTCCCATATTTTGGTACCATTTTCGAAGCGTACGGCGATCCGGGAGGCAAGTATCAAAAGTTTTGCGTACGTATTCATACGCCTTAGGCGAATAATAGTCAAGTGTTAGCGCAAAACTACGCAGAGCTGGACTATATTTTTGCTTAGATGGGCCACCACCAGTACTTTTTGCTATCATACGATTTGTCAGTTCTTGTATCTGTGAATAAAATTAAAATAATATATCTTCATTATCTCTGTTATTTTTATAAGGCCACCTCCATCGATGTAGCCAGCAATATTATTATTTTTTTGTCGTTTTTTTGCAATTTACAGGTAAATTTCAGCTTGTATCTTGATGAAAATTTAATTCGTGACAATAACAAGTATGTATTTACATAATTATAACCATAAGAATCATCAATACAAGCTGAAACTGACCTGTAAATTGGAAAAAAAGACAAAAAAAATAAATTTCACGGGCAGAGGAATCACCTTAACATTTAAATTTTTTAGAACAGATATATCTTCGTCCTGCAATGAAAATTTTTTTTGAAGATCATTTAAAACATCTTGCATTTTATTAAATTTTTTTTTCAGTCTTCGGTTTTGTGCCTGTATCCTTCTTATCTTCAACCTCTGTTTCTTTATTAAACATTCTTTGTTGACGATTATCTTTTGTAGCTTTCTTTTCCTAGGAGTGCTTGCATTTGAAGATGACATTACGCTTTCCTACAAATAAATGAATGAATGAAACATTTGCGGAACAAGTGGTTTGTGAAATCAATAATATATATGAATCGTTGCTTGTCAAGTGAAAATTTGTGAAATAAGCTTTGGAGAAACATTAGTAAACCCATTAATCTTTAAAAAAACAACTATGAAACGATTTTTGATCAATCTTTGTAGGTATAAATTAACTTACTTCAGTGTATTTTCTTTTTAAATTTTTATCTCTTTTTGGTGTCAACGTCAACAAAGTTGAAGATGAAGCCTGTGCTTGTAAATCCTAAAATTATAAATAGCATAAAATATCTTGAAAAGCTGACTTTACACGAGCGATTATAATTCAAGATAACATATAAGTATTATGTTACCTGAGTGCCTTCGCAATTTTGCACACTGGCGGAAATAGCAACGTAACTGGGCTTATTAATTATAGCATTGCAAGAATTAGTTGTCTGAAAAATAATGCAAAAGTCTTAATATGCCACATAAACTTACAAAGTAGAAAACAAAAAATCAAAATTAAATTATTTTTAAAGAGCTGGAAGCTTGGATGATAATCATTTACCGGAGTGTGATATTAATCTACAGTAATAATTATTATAAGATTCCATACATACTCAAAATATATTTCATGAAAATTAACAATCAAATAAAATAAAACCTAAAATCAGATTTGTTCATAATGTAGGAGACAATAAATAGTAGTAGAATATGAAATATGGGACAAACTTCCAACAAGTTAGTAATAAATTTTGACAAAACCTACCAAAGAACTTGAACAAATCTGAACAATTTGTTCTCTTGGGATCGTCCCTGGTTTTAGGTACCTATAACCTGATTTTTTAATGATAAAATCATTTTCAGTAAAATGTTTAGAGCAAATAGTACTCGTCTTTGTCGGCATCCAGTTTCCTCTACCTGTCACGTCAATCCATTGTTCTCGGGCGTTAGGCTCTTTAGGAAACCTAAAATGTATAATTTATTGCTGAAGTAAAATTGCATTTTACTTATATTTTAAATACTAAACACAATATAGCAAATACTTGTAGATGACAGATCTACAGGGTGAAATTGCATTCATAGGCAATATTTTTCAGACTTATCAAAATGAAGGGAACAGCCGTTTTTCTTTCGTGATTTCAGGTTTGGTCCCGTAGTAAAAGTTGTTCATAATGATGAGTACAATGACCTCTTAAAGTATTGCCAATAATTCAATTTAACCCTATGTCCCTTTATATCATTCGGTCACATTCATTCAATGATTTAATATAACATTTAATTTACTCATTATTCGAGTACGTCTAACTAAAAATATACTATCATTAAATAATCCAAAAGTTATCTTTATCAAACGTAAATATAAATTATTTGAGAATTCTATCGATGATTTTATTTAACGACAAGGTCACCTCACTATCGATAAACATGGCGCCTTGCATCACAGCCAATCAGAGCAAAGGACGAAACGAAGTGTAAAGAACGCAATGCATGCAGTACATTGTAAGCGGACTTGGTCATTGCGTTGATTAAGCGAGTACACATCGGGCAATGTATATTTTTTTGTAACTTGTTGCAATAATATTGTTAATGTTTGGAATTTCATAATGATCAGAATAATTTTATGTTTTTTACTAATTAAATGATAATTAAATGTTATTTTCGACTTACCGATGGAAAGATATACCTCCTCGCTCTATACTTGCGGTTTGACTTTTTGTTTTACAAGTTATAATTGCACAACACGGCATTTTAAAGCAGAGCTCTGTTCTACGAAGTAGCCCGAAGCGCAACAAACGCGGTGAATGAATGAATCGGTCGAGTTATGATTTTCGAATCATAATTGTGGCGCGCTCGCCCCGCCCACATTACCATTCCAACCTTATTTATCTATTCCGTGGTTCCAACTCATCACGTCGAGACATTCTTCAAGCAAGAGTTTTGGCCGAAGGGTGTCGTCTATCGGAGGTTTCGAGGATGGCTACGCGACACCACGCAGCGTAACACGACGCCGACACTTCGTGTGCATTAGTTTTTAAGTTTCTTATGTAACATATGTATTAGTTTATGATTTAATGTTATAATATATTTATGTATTGTATTCTCTATGGGCCTCAGATGCCTGACTTAATAAATAAATAAATAAAAAATAGCGAGATATTTATTGGATTTTAGTATTTTTTATTTAACCCATTAATTAGGTACTTATATCTATTTGGTACTACTTAAGAAGGTAATAAATACTCACTTTAGCTTGTTCCTTTTTACCTAAGACTTTTTTATTATTTCCTTGATCAAAATTACTGAAACAAAAAGCATCTATTAAAAATAAAGAAACGGAATGGAACTTAACACGCGGCTTCTGAAATGCTTGACAACGCTAAAATTAACTAATCTCCTGTCTCTTGTTAAGTCACCTGATTGGTTGTTGATAATTCTGTCAACCAATCAGATGACTTGACAAGAGATTAAATTGATTTTAACATTGATCGGCCTTTCGGAAACCGGTTGTAAGTGCGGTAGAACATTGCTTCAGCACGAATGGCTCGACTTAAACGGAGTAATACCTTATAGAAAACCGGAGTGAAACACCTACTGCCTTATTAGCCAGTTTTTGTATTTCGAATTGAAAGTACGTGAGAATAAGATTAAAAATACAAAAACTTGCTCAATGGTTTACAAAGACTGAAGATAAATTTTATTTTGTAATAACGCGTATTGTGAGGGAACCTGGACTTATTATTTCTTATAAGTCTGAAATCGCCAATACGCCTTGAGCAAGCGTGGTGGGTAATGCTCAAACCTCCATGTGAGAAGAGGTCTTTGCTCAGCAGATGATGTCATTACCACTTGTTGCCCAGCAACCAGCTACTATACCAATCGAGCAATAAAAAACAGTTTTTAGAGACTTTATAATTTCCGTGCGTTTAGGCGTTTTTACCATAACTATTACTGGAAACAACTATAGCAGCTCACACATAGGTTCCATTACAATAACAAAACAAAACTTTCCGTGATGTTTGGTGACTGGGCTTCTCCCAATTGTACAATCTTTTCAGTGCCTTTAAGGCTTAAGCCATTCTGCCTCGTAGATTAAATTTACCGAGGGAAGTGGAAACTATTTAGTTTTTTTTTCCTCCTACTATTTTCTTCTCCTCAAATAATATCTTCTGATTTATTTCGTTGCGGGATCTAAGACAGTCATTCTTGGCCAAGGGACGCGGCGGACTTCAGTGTTCCGGTGTTTTCATGGTTGTATCTACTGCAGATCCTGGCTTACAGGAGTTGCAGCGGTTTTGGGTGGTTGTAAAGAAGACATTATAATTTTGTTCTGAGTTCTAGCTTACCTTTCTCCGTCGCTGTGTAGAGCAGAATGGAATAAATGTTCTTCAAAAGCTTTTCGTGTTTCAAATGTGATGTCGCAACGTACACAATATGTATCCACTTCTTCATCATCACCTGGACTGTCCTGTTATAGGAAAATGGTCTTAAGATGTTAGAGAGAAGAATATAATAAGTGCTATTTTAATGTGTTGTTAAATCACTATTTAGTATTTTACACCACTTACTGAGATCACTTTTAAATGTAAGAGACGAAATAAAGGCTTTTTAACCCCCGACGGAAAAAGAGGGATTTCATAATTTTGACGTGTATGTCTGTCTGTTTAGTATAAATCAATGTCGCTTTTTCCGTCCCTATATCCCTACGTATGCTTAAATAAATCTTTAAAATTACGCAACGGATTTTGATGCGGCTTTTTTTAATATAGTGATTGAAGAGGAAAGTTTATATGTATAATAGCATCCATTAAATAGTGAAGAAATTTAATATCAGCGTTGAACCCTTGCGAAGCCGGGGCGGGTCGCTAGTAACTATATATGATGAAGATTTGCAGAGACTTACATTTACATACTATGTTGTGTAACATTGTCTATTCGACCTTATGGTTAGCGGCCATAAGATCGAATACACTTCGGTATGTAGTTTCCAACTGTCAAACTCAATACTTTTGTCCAAATGTCAAAAAACTTACCTTGCTATGAAATTTGTATGAAACTCGAAAATATGAAGTCATACATACTAATTTAGGAGTGAAATTACTTATTTCTAAAAAAATTGCTAAAAAATATCGAAATTTTTGTGTCTTGACAGATTGATGAGTATATAGGTAATTTTTCAATATTTTATTGTACTTATTGAAATATCGAATTAATTTATTGTTGAATTAGGGAACTATACTCGGAATTTTAATTCCATTCCAGATTTGACAATTTCAGTGTTGCAACGTTATGAAACGTAATAAATAGTGACGTTGCGAAATTATTCGATATGGAAATCGAATATTTCTGAATCGATTCCTCTCGTTTATAAATTTACTCTCGTAAACTAAGTTTCTCAGGAAATAAAATATTTCTGAACCGATAATTTTCTTTTGACAATTAATTAACTATCTGAGACTTTTCTTTTGTAATTGTGTGTGAAATTAATAAAAAATGTGATCATGAAGGAACGTGACAAATAAAACAGACATTTTATAAATTATCGCCGTCATCGCTATCGCTATCGCCGTTACTCTATGTAACATTTATTATGAATTGTGTCTTTGATATTTATTGTCAATTAACATATCTAGCTTACTCATTTTTTCCTCTTCTTTGAAAACATGGGATACACATTTAGACCATTCGGTAGCCGTAATTTTTTGAATGCCTTCCTGAAACTGATTTACTGATTGTTTATCGATTTTTGTGTTCATCACTACACTGTTATATGTGGTATCATTATTTCACAAAATGACAGTGGTCAATGTCAAATCAGGAATCGAATTAAAAGTCTGACTATAAGTAATACTTACAAGTTTATCAATGATATGTTTGACCCGCTTGTGTTGGTGTAGGCCGGCTCGACTGACGAACGACTCCCCGCACAGAGTGCACACGTGCTCGCTGCGGTGCGTACGCAAATGCGTATAGTATGTTGACGTATGCCTGTGAAAATAAGATTTTTGGAGGGGATATTTATTATTATTCTTTTTATTCTTTGATGAAACAATGAATTCATTTTTGCAAATAGGCCATAAAACGGCACTTTGACGCGTCAATTTATATGTGAAAAACTAGATGAAGCCGGCATTTTCTATCTGACTACTCTGAGAATAAATGCCAAAACAAACTCAGAGGTCAGTCTCCAGACAATGTAAAAATAACATAATGTGAGAGAACCGTGCAAGTTCATTCTGTAGTGGTCGTTTTAGGAAAGAAAAACACCAGTTTAAGTGTTTATTAAAAATATATTAATATACCTATCCTAGAAGTTATTTTACCACCCGATGTGTGTTTTTAATTATTTCGGAATTCGAATTTGCATTTTATATTTTATGCCATTTAAAGGTTGATGTTTATTTTGTCAACTCACGAATGTAATTTACACAAAAGATTACACAGAATACAAAAAGTTGTATTAATGAATATTTTGTTAGAAAAACTGTCTTACCTAAATTCTTGATCACAGTAATCACACTTCCTCTTGAGTCCACTGTGATACTCATTGTGAAGAACGGCTGTATGTCTAAAAATAAAGATTTCATAGATCATACAGAGTCCACAACAAATATTAGATATATAATTTTTTTTTTTTAATCTTGCTTGCTCTAGGATTTTCTCCTGTATCGTGGGTGCGGTTACAAACATAGAATTTCACATACACATCACAACCAGACCCGGAACAACAATTTGTGGATCACACAAAGAGTTGTTCGCGTGCGGGAATCGAACCCGCGACACGTTGCACGGCAGCCAGTTGCCCAGCTACCGCACCAACCATAATATTATTCATTATGTGAAACAGACCACCACAGACGGGGCCCTACAGGGCTGGTGTTCAGCCGGGGTTGCGGGGTAAGCGCAATGAGGCACCGCGACCTCGGCCCAGAGCAGGAGAAGGAACAGGGGGGTTTTTAGTCAGTAAGAGTCTGACACTTCCACTGGGCGGGAGAAGTCATTTGATGATTTTCTACTGATAAAAAAACAGGCAACCCCGGCTAGATAGTTATTCGGTAATCTCAACTAATTCTTCGTAATATTATAAATGGGAAAGTAACTTTGTGTGTCTGTCTGTCTTTTCTTCGCGCCTAAACTACTGAACCGATTTCTGTAAAATTTGGTACAGACATAGTTTGGAACTCGAGAAAGGACATAGAATAGTTTGACTGCACGGTTGGTGCGGTGGCTGGGCAACTGGCTGCCGTGCAACGTGTCGCGGGTTCGATTCCCGTACGGAACAACTCTTTGTATGATCCACAAATTGTTGTTCCGGGTCTGGGTGTCATGTGTATGTGAAATTGTATGTTTGTAACCGCACTCACGAGACAGGAGAAAATCCTAGTGTGGGGCAACGTTTTCTTAAAACAAACAAAAACAAACAAATAGTTTTATACCAAAAATCGGCAGGAAGTAACTATTCCACGCGAACGGAGTCACGGGCAATAGCTAGTCTATACTAATATTATAAAGCTGACGAGTTTGTTTGCTTGAATGCGCTAATTTCAGGTATTATTGGTCCTATTTGAAAAATTCTTTCAATTTTAGATATCTAATTTATTGAAGAAGGCTATAGGTTATATATCATCACGCTACTACCCACGGGAGCGGAACAGTAACAAAAAACGTGGAAGAAACCGTGTGGGACAGCTAGTATGAAAATCAAGATTAATACTAATTCAGTATATGGATTACTGGGAATATTTTATAGCCTTTAATTTTTATAAAAAAAAAAAGATATACTCACTCCAAAGGACAGATGACTTGACATCGCAAACACTCGTACTTGACATAATGCTGCCTTATATGTCTCCGTAGGTAGCAGTTCAGTTTGAACCTCATCCGACAGAAACGACATTCCAGGGGACCCAGCATCTGTTTTAAGGAATACGTGTTATAAGTATATGGATGTAAAGTTGTTTTTTGAATGGAAAATATCAATCCGAAACAGAAGAATGAACAGTTGAGCTTGAACCACATACGACAGAAACGACATTCGAAGGGACCCAGCATCTGTTTGAAGGAAAATATGCTTTAAGAATATGATATGAAAGTACTTTTTTGAATGGATATTATCAACTTGAACTAATCTAGAGAACCAAACATCAGTTTGATTTTGTGACTTAGAATTATGTCATTAAAGTTACTTTTGAGATTGTAAATAAAAACATGAATTTTAATTGCATAAGATGGAAACTACACTATATCAACGTGAACCGCATGGGACAAAAAAGGACACACAATTTTAGTAAAAGTCCGACGGTACTTCACACCGAGTCAGCTTGTAACGTTGTATAAAGCTCAGGTCCGGCATGTGTGGAGTACTGCAGCCATATATGGGCTGGTGCTGCAAAATGCCATCTAGCGGCTTTGGATTCAGTGGAAAGGCGTGCAAAGAGGCTGATTGGTGATCCAGATTTGGTTGGGTCCAATCTTCAAAGTCTCGAGCACAGGCGCAGAGTAGCCAGCCTTGCGGTTTTCTACAGGATGTATTTTGGAGAGTGTGCGCAGGAATTGCACGATTTGATTCCGCCATCTCAATTTCACCTTCGGACATCCCGGCGTACGGCAAATATCCACCCTTACGTTGTTGAGACACCTGCGGCCCGGACTAAGCGTTTTGCCTCGTCATTTATACCGCGTACATCGAGGGATTGGAACAGTTTGCCGGCTGCGGTCTTTCCGTCCAAATATAATTTAGATGTTTTCAAGGCTAGAGTGAATAGGCTCTTAATAAACTAGTGCGTCTTACCATCGACGATTGCATCACTACTTACCATCAGGTGGGATCGCAGTCAAGCACTAGTTTATTGCAAGTAAAACAATTATTTTCTAACAAAAACTTAGTTTACAAAATTTTGTGTCAAGACTAGCATTTGTATCGATTTCTATTACAATGTAATAAGAAATAAAATAATCAATTGGCAACATAAAAGTTTTTTATAATCTGATTATACGCTCAACACTAGAGATGTTACGAGTGCGTTGCTGAGATCCTTTACCCCTAAAGGATGTTAGGGTTATTTTAGGAGATTAAATTAGTCGTGTTACCAACCTTAAGATGCCTTAACTGCAGATGTCTATCCAACATATCCTTCTTAGAGAAACCTCGAAAGCAATCGGAGCACTTATACGCGGCGTCCACATATTTCTTATCTTCAGCTCTCGCGCGAAAATTCTTCAAAGCCTCCTCCTCATTCAGCGTAATCTTCCTCCAATGTTTACTATTCAAAACCTTATTACCTAAGCCTTTAGATTTCTTTCTGCTTTTCTTCTCATCAACAATCTCACACTTGATATTAACTAAATTGTCTTCGTCACCGTTGAAACCGTATGACACTTCATTGCTATCAACTTTGATTTTTTCATCTTCAAAATGTTCAGGGAATGTATCAAAATCCAACATCGGTTCCGTATCCCCCGGTATAGATGTTTCACTAAAATAATTTAATTCAATATTTTCTATTTTCTCCACTTTTTCCGGATCAAAGACATCGTTTGATTCTTCTGTATTTTTGTTTGATATGAAACTTCTGATATGGCTTGGAAAGTCTATTGAGGTTACGGGTGATGTGTGCAAAGATCTTGGGGGGTCCAATTTGTATATTTGTTCGTAAGTTATCTGAAAATAAAGGCAATATTTCGAAAATTACATATGAAGATTTCATATTGATTAGCTTCGGAGAGTCCACAAACCACTTTTTCTTTAATGTTTAGTGTGGGAGAGCCATGCTTCGGCACGAATGGGTCGGCACAGAAAACCGGCGTGAAACAACTACAGCGTTGTATTTCGCTGTGTGAGTGAGGTTACCGGAGACCCAATCCTTCCCCTCCCCCAATCCCTCCTCAATCCCTAAATCTCCAAATCCCTAATCCCTAAAAGGTCGGCAACGCACTCGTAACTCCTCCGTTGCGGGTGTCCATGGGCGGCGCTGATTGCTTACCATCAGGCAATCCGTCAGCTCGTTTGCCGACCTATCACATAAAAAAAATGTTTATTAACGAATTACACCGTGTCAGAATAAACACTAAATATAAGATATTTTTTTAGGCTATACGACGCACGATAGACGAGCTGTCGGTTTACCTGATGATAAGCAATCATCACCTAACAAAGGAGGAGTTTCGAATCCTTTTGGGATTGGGAAGGGATTGAGGAATGAAGGATTGGGCCTCCAGTAACCTCAATCACACGGCGAAACTCAAAGCTGTAGTTGTTTCACGCTGTTTTTTTAAAAACGTGATGTATGAATCATACCAGGGCCTCATAGAAAACCGGCGTAACTGTTTTGGTGTTGCAGGTGTCCTTTGGCGGCGCCTACTGCTTACCATCAGGTAATTGGTCTGCTTGATATCTGATTTTTTTCCATAAAATGGTAAAACAGTGGCTTAAACAAATGTTTGTCTTAATTGACACCTTTTCACAGGTAGCTTTCTTTTATCTAAGACTCTCTATTACATCAACAACATTTTAGGGGCCCAAAAAGTGAATGTTAGGAGAATAATGTGCTTTAAGATTATGAGAATAGAGTAAATTTTTGAATAATGTTAGATGCATGCATCATTTCCCCTTTGATTAAATTACATTTACACACATCATATAATTATAAAAAATACATAATATTATCCAACGAAATGGAACCTATTACAGAACAAATTTTAAGTGTAGGTAAGTAAAACAGTTAAATTTATAAAAATAAAAGTCTTACATATCTATAACTGGCTTAATACCAAAATAGGTCATACTTACAGGACCTCTCCAAGCTAATTCTCGGAGAGCCTTCTGGCCGCTGAAGCATTTCTCCTTAAATCTATGGAACTTGTGTAGTATGGTGGCACATTCATAGCAGAAGTATTGGGGTAGACCATCTTGCTCATTGAACTGTAGATTAAATGATTTTTTTTAATAAGAAGGTGTAAGTAATGACATGATTTATTTATTTATTCTTAAATAATAATGTCGCCCTATACTATGATTTTCTCCTGTGTTGTGCGTGTGTTTACAAACATACAATTTCACATACATTATAATAACTGCAAGGTTGGTGCGGTGGCTGGGCAACTGGCTGACGTGCAACATTTCGCGGGTTTGATTCCCGCACAGACAAACTCTTTGTGTGATCCACAAATTGTTGTTCTGGGTCTGGGTGTCATGTGTATGTGAAATTGTATGTTCGTAACTGCACCCACGATACAAGAGAAAATCCTAGTGTGGGGCAATGTAAAATATAAATAAAAAGGTGTAAATTATATCTCTATGGAGATCAATATTACACAAATCATCAATTATTTATCAATTCCATCATATGGAAGATTGATAGGAGGCAGAATCTAATACTATGTGAAAACTGTAAACCCAATTCTGATTCCCTAACAATCCATAATAGGCTAGCAACATACTGGTAACTCATTTAGCATTCTGGGTGTTCTTTGGCCATACTTCTTGCTTCCCATCAGGGGTCCATTTGCTTGTTTACTGACCTATATTTAAAAAAAAACTACCATACAAAACTAGCTGTTACTGGCAGCTATATATGTTGAAAGGAAAAAAGTACCCAAATCACTCTCAGGCCTCATACCTCTACTCTCTCTTTAATAAATTCATTACATTAAGGGTAGCTAACATAGGTAATAAGTATATTGACTAAGAATTGATTAGTGTAATTGGTTTTACACCATACTATTCAAATAATTAAGTTAATAAATAAATGGCTTTGTCGCTATGAGAAAGAAATACAAATAAACATTAAATATTTATTACATTTATAAAGATTGAGGGATAAATGAAATCGATCTTTTGTAATTAAAAAATAATTATTGTATAATTAATAAAATAAATTAGAAAGTATTGAGTCAGAAATAGTCAGAAATAGTCAGAAAATAAATGGGTATAGTAGGTCTATACCCATTTATTCTTTAGTTTTAGAAACGTGTGTTTATCAGAATAATTATGAAGCGTCAAAACTATTGCAAAGGGGATCGTCGCATCGTCCTTAACAATAAATATTATAAATTAAAAGAGTGAGAAACGCAAAACGAATGGACTTTATTGTTCCATAATTTCGCAGTTGTTGTCTCTGATAAAACGTTTTAAGACTTAATTATGTTATTCAGATAGCTGTACTGTATAGTTTAGTTACATTAACACTTTAGTTATATAAATAACTTGCCTGTAAAGCCATAACTTCTTCATAATAAAACTTAAGTCGATGCGAACTGTAATGATACATTTTTGCCTCCGTTCGGAGGCATATTCTACACACTTTTATGTCCGCCATTATGCTATTTTGTTATCATTGATTTGTGTGTGACATTTTCTAAAACATAATTTAATTCTTTCACTATTTACGCTTGGGATAATGTACACAGAGGCAAATAAGCCGATGCATACGACATTCTCGCCATATTTGTTTACCTGTCAGATAAAAGTCACAACAAGTTGTCAAATTGTCAAAATTATGCAGTTCAGAAACATGTTTCGATGAAAATTTTCGGAGTGTTCTGTGAACTTCTGTGGTAAACGTTTTAATTTTATATTATTTTTTACTGTTAAACGAAGAACGCAACGATTTAAGCTTTCGATTTCAGATTTATCACCAAAAATTCCCTAAAAAAGTTACACTTCCCTTGAATAACAGTCATTTCACTTTCCACCAAAAATAATGTTATATTGACATGTGCGAGCGTGCCATGCTTCGGCATGAATGGACCGACTGGACCGAAAGTGATACCACGGCCTCAACAAAAAACGTACTTGAAACAATACTTACGTGGTGTTTCGCCGGGTCATATTACCGGAGGCCTTATCCTCCCCCATCCAATCAAATCATCAAATCCATAACAGCCCACAAAAGGCCGGAAATGCCCTTGTAGTGGTACACTCTTGGTATAGGTAACGAGCGTCCATGGAAGGCGCCGATTGCTTACCACCAAGTAAACCGTCTGCTCGTTTGTCGACCTACGACATATAAAAAATCTTTTTATAGCTTATCGCCTTACCCTTTGCTATCATACTGTAATTGCTATCAGTATTCCAGAGTATCTTAGAGCAGTATTATCCCTAAAGCAAACTAAGCAAGTACCGTAAAACGGGGTGAATAGAATTCGAGGGGTAAATAAACACGGAAGAGGGGTGAATAGATACTAGGAAATTCGCCAACATCTATTCACCCCTTTCCTGTATCTATTCACCCCTCAAATTCTATTCACCCCGTTTTACCGTTACTTAGGGTGCAGACTAGACGGAATCGAATTCCTATCAGTAAGAGTCTGACACTTCCCTTGTTACTTCTCCTGCTCCAGGCACCAGGCTCCAAGCCAGTACCTTATATTTTGCTTGACCGGCAACCCCGGCTAACCATCGTCGTGTTGGGTCCCATTTGTGGTCCATTAGCCAGACAAGAAGGACCCACACCTTGCACGACGTCGACTGAATGTGCAAGTTAAAATATTTCCTTCTAGAATTTTCATAACCCAGAAATTTTCACAATCCAACCTAAAAAATAAAATATACTATCTACGGTGTCTTATGTAATGCCATTGTAATGTGTCAATAAAAAATAAAACAAAATCAGGTTCAGATGGCAAGGATTGCGGTGTTTGACTGCACGGTTGGTGCGGTGGCTGGACAACAGCTGGTTGCCACGCAACATGTCGCGGGTGCGATTGCCGGACAAAACAACTCTTTTTGTGATCGCCGTGATCACAAAGTCGTGTTCCAGTTCTGAGTGTAAGTGTATTGAAATGGTATGTTTGTAAACGCACCCACGACACAGGAGAAAACCCTAATGTAGGGCAACTTTTTTGAAAACAAAAATCTAGATGGGTATAAACTTAATTTTTTTTTAAAGAAAACACAAAATAAAAAACAATTTCTTCAGGCGGTAATAATAAAATTTAATTCTTTTCAACAGTACAAATCTTACTTATTATTTATGGTATAATCTAATAACAACCATCTCCGCCGATCAACCTTTTTTTATTCCGAATCATCATTTATTCTATAATCTTCTTCCTCTAATTGACTTACTGCTGTTTTTCTTCTGTTTCTGTAAAACCAATATATTTATTATGTTAATGGTAAATATCAGTAAGTGGTCATTAATACCGCTATTCATTCTTAGACATTTTCTTATACATATATCTGCCTCGTTTGTGATTAAGACTAGTATTATGAAATATTCCTGAGAGTTTAATCATAAGTGTAAAATAAAAAATTAACTATCTATTTTATAAATCGTAAATTCTGTATGAGAATCTAATTCAGTCCATGTAGTACATTATTGGTTAAATTTATCAAAATAGATTTTTTTTTGTTTCATTCAGAAAATATGTTATGTGATATTGGCCGAGATCTCCCCCCCCCCCTCCCCGTACCCTTAAATATCTCACGTATTTTATAAACCCACTAATACGGCAGTTTCCAACTGATCAAATTCAATACTTTTATTCAAACGTCAAAAACGATACTTTTCTATGAAATCTGTAACATTTTTGCGTCAAATAAGCTACTTATTTCTTAATAATTAGCTAAAAAAATCTATACCGCGTACATCGAGGGATTGGAACAGTTTGCAGCCTGCAGTCTTTCCGTCCAAATATAATTTAGGTGTCTTCAAGGCTAGAGTGAATAGGCTCTTAATAAACTAGAGCGCCTTACCATCAAAGATTGCATCACTGCTTACCATCAGGTGGGATCGCAGTCAAGCACTAGTTTATAGCAAGTAAAATAAAAAAAATAATGTATCGATCGATCGATGCATAAAAGTATAGTTATTTTTCAATATTTTATTGTATTGAAACGTCAATTATATTTATTTTTTACCTACGAAACTACCCAATTAGTAACTCATAAAAAATGTAGGACGAGTAAAACCTACCTCTTCGGATAAGGTTGCTTAAGATGGAACGTACGGAAATGTAGTTGCATACTACTTTTCTGCGTGAACCGTTTCTCGCACATTGAACATTCGTGGGGCTTTTCACCGGTGTGCGTCTGGAATAGAGCAAAGGTATCCATTATATACATTGCCTAGTTTTAATTAAAAAAAGAATGATAAATAGGCTAGTCGTACTAGTCGGATTCAATTTTTTTTTTTAAATAGTCTAAAACGTCAATTTGTTACCTATATCAATATTAGTCTATGCCTATATGAATTTCGTATGACACGTCATGTTTTACGTCAAATTTTATAATCATGCTCATTTGTTTTTGTCTTTTATAAATTATAAATTCATTATTATAAATTAGTATTATATAATATTGAATTTATAAATGACATTTATAATGAAAATCTTATTTCGTAGAATAATACATCTATCTATTCATATTTGTATCCTAAATGTGCTTTCAAATGTTTTTGGAAAAAAATACTTTTTATCCCCGGCCGGAAGGCCGGAAAAGAGGGGTGTTATAACTTTGATGTGTCTGTCTGTCTGTCTGTGGCATCCTGGAGCCTGAACGAATGAAGCGATGTCAATTTAGTTTAAAACAAATTTAATTAAATAATTTTATTATTCTCTTACCAGTTGATGTCTGTTCATGCTTCCTTTACTATTGAACTGCATGTGGCATAAAGTGCAACTATACAATTTCTCCCGTGTATGTGTATTTAGATGACTCGCCACGCTATTCGCCTGTGAACAAATAAGTTTATAATGTAGTGTGTAACCATTAATGTATGTAAACAGCTTTACTTAGAATGCTATACCGGATCTTTAAACTAAATGGGTCAAAAAAGTCAAAAATCATTTATTCCAATTAGACACCGACAGGCACCTTTGAATGTCAAACAAAAAATTTTGAAGTGTCAGTCTGTCGGTCAGTCCTCTTAGTGAAGCTATTTGCTCGTTCTATAAATAAAAAAATAAAATAACTTTAATTCAGACCGTAGTCCATATTATGTTAGTACTCACACACCTTAAAAACTATGTTAGTGAAAAATAAAATACAGAAAGACCTTAATTCAAATATCTGCTGCGTACATTCGACACACCAGGTACATGAACGTGTACATGCATCCAGTGTGCCAAAATGGCGCAACTCGGCTTATCACTGATGACCCTCAGAATGCTGTTGCCGCTCCCACGCACTCTGCGCATTATGGACGTTACTCGCTTTCTTATGATGGCTTTAAAACCATCAATATGTGCGTCAGCAAACATTCCTGATGCACTGCAGTAACGTGGGAGCCCCAACAACATCCTGAAGGCATTGTTATACTGAACTTTGAGGGCGTTGTATGCCCGCTGCGTATACCGAACCCACAGGGTGCACGTGTACAAAGACTGGCAGAATGCCTTAAAAAGCGTTAATTTCACTTTTGGTGTACAACGTGCAAACCTGCGGGACAACATATTGCATCGGACAGCCAACGCCCTCCGCTCTCTTTCCATGTCATCGTCATCTTTCAAAGACTCAGTCACTATGTGCCCTAGGTACTTAAAGTTTAAAACCCTCTCAAGGGCCACACCGTTCATCGTAACTGGCGGTACGTGGGCTGGCTTTTTGTGTCTCACTTTGAAAACTAACAATTTGCTTTTCTGTACATTATACACAAGTCCGTGTTTTTAAAGTTCTAAAGTCCGATGGAGAAATACGAGCAAGAAACTCCATGGTTACTTTTTTTAAATCAGTTTCACATACAGATTCCTTTTACAAAAAGTTGGTTCAATTATGTGAGAACAGTGCAACACTAATATTTATTCAGATAAATATAAAAAGAAAATAACCTTAAGAACAATAGACAGTCCGGAGCTGACCAGTCCTAACTGACGGCGCCCGTTCACGAGCATGACACGTACACTAGCATCTCCCAACTCAACCATATTATAGGGAATTAAGCGACCAGTGGTCCAGTGACCGCGCCACCGTCAGTGTGAACTTTCAGTAAACATGACAACTCCAAGCTGATATAAGGACCGACATTCTGCTAGTCTGACCAATTGGGCGTACAATTTTTATTCCTTTTTCATGAGCAGAGTGCGCGTCGCGACGACGTGTTTTTCTGACGACGCTTCGATTTCGATTTGTTATATTTATACATAAAAATGGATCGCAAAATGTGTTGGTAAGCGCATAACTCAACATCTGGACCAATTTTGCTAATTCTTTTTTGTTGTGTTTGTTTTGTCAGGTGAAGGTAGAGCGGAAGATTAGGAAAAAGTGACCCTTTGATAGCGAGATACTTGGACCCGTGCGAAGCGGGGGCGGGCCGCTATATAGTTGTCAATAAATTTGACATGTCTCAAGATAGCTCCTATTTAAAAAAAAAATGTAGTATACTGTAACATACCTTTAGCGAAGCCCCACAGATCTCACAGATGGTTCTCTCCTCCTCCTTCGCGGGGAGAGGCTCGTCCTTATGTTCAGCGTTATGGTGCTTCATGTACGCAGCTAGGCTCGGGAAGTTTATGTTGCACTGAAAATTCACAATGATGTTGTAATTCTAACAACGAATTTGTGTATCACCTCTTTACGCATTATCTAGTCAAACAATATTCTTGATGCCCTGCTAGAATTAGTATAGTCGGCACAGTATTAGCTTGTAACATTTGATTTGATAAAAAAAAACATACACGGGAGTTGAATTGGATAGTTTCCTAGGTCAAAAATGAATTAATTTGACGTTTCAATACAATAAAATATTGAAAAATAACTACACTTTTATTCATCGGTCGATAGATATATAAGGTTTTTGATTTTTTTTTAGCTAATTGTTAAATATAAATAAGTTATTTGACGCGAAAATGTTATGACGTCATAACTCAGTTTTTCATACAAATTTCATAGGAAAGTATCGTTTTTGACGTTTGGATAAAAGTATTGAATTTGACTAGTTGGAAATTACCGTATTGGTATAGTCGGTACAGTATTTGCTTGTAACTTTCGAGTTGATTTAAAAAAAATCATACACGGGAGTTGAATTCTAAATAAATTATTTTTACTTTTCAGTACATATTATGTATGTATAGTCAATAAGTGTGGATTGAAAATGGAGTCGAACACGTGCCGTCTCTTTCTCACATCCGTGCTAACAATCTTTATGGTATACTCTTAACACAGGTTCTCGGATATAATTCGAAATTATTGGTTCGAAAAAAATAATGACTAGTTGGCAACTTTTCTAGTAATGCGAATCACAGAGTATCGCCTATTCTAATTCCTCAGATTTATAAAAATACAAATTATTGTCTATCGGAGAACGTAATGCCAGTCATCGTTTAGGTAGTCCAAGTTTGACTGCAGTAGGCGCAGTGGCTGGGCCACTGGCGGCTGCGTACCGTATCGCGGGTCCAATTCCCGTACGGAACAACTCTTTGTGTGATCTACAAATTGTTGTTCCGGGACTGGGTATGAAATTGTATGTTTGTAAACGCAACCACGATACGGGAGAACATTGAGGACTTTTTATAAAGAAGAACTCTAGATATTATTTGAAATTTTCATTATTTAGACAAGAGCTAAGCGTTATAATAAAGGGTTATTAAAAATCAAAAAGTCAAAAATCATTTATTTCAATTAGACCACAGTAGGCACTTTTGAACGTCAAGCAAAAATAGGAAAAATGAATTTCAACAATTGAAAATATAGTGTCAGTCTATCTGTCTGTCCTCTAATGAAGCTATTTGCTCGTTCCAAAGTGTAGATTCCTATGGAGAAGAACGAGCAAGAAACTCCATGGTTACTCTTTTTCAATCAGTTTTACAATACATTTCTTTGTTACATCATTTAGTCGGTTCTGATATGTGAGAACAATGTAACACTAATGTTCATACGAAAAAGAAGTGAACCTCTAGGTTAAAAATGTACAATACCTATATATTTGATACTCACTATTGTACAGGGTGTCATTTTCCTAGGATTCCTTCTAAAGAATTTCTTCTTTCGGTTCGGTTTTAACACGGCTGCGTTCTCGCCAGCTGGATCCCTGATAACAATAACAATGAAAGATAAACAATTAAAATATCTTGACTTGGCTCACGAGGTTGTTGACATGTGGATTGTGGACTCGGCTATCATTGTGCCGATAGTTGTGTCGGCAAATGGGTTAGTCCCCAAAAGCCTCGACAACCACCTTAAGAGGCTGACGTTAGGCGGATGGATCAAGGGCCTCATACAGAAGGCAGTCCACCTTGAAACGGCACGTATTGTGAGGAGGTTCCTGTCTCTAGAGCCCTAACCATCGGTAGTTTGGACCTCGCTCTCGCTGCTAGCTGGCTCCTACTTTTTTATTTTTAAATGTTATTTTATTTTATAGTACCATATATTTAAAAATGTAATTTTAGAGTGTTTTAAATAAATATGCGAATAACAATGAATATTATTAATGCGAAATTATGTGTTTATCATTCTGTCATGTTACAATGGAACGATGAAATTATCAGGTCTGGGAGAGCCATGCTAAGTGTGGGTGAGCTTCATGGACCTCTCAGAAACTGGCATGAAGCAGTACTTACAGTGTTCCACCGTGTTAGTGAGGTTACTGGAAGCCCAATCCTTCCCTCTATCCGTAAAACCCTAAAAGGCCGGCAATGCACTTGTAGTAACTACTTTGGTATTACCAGTGTCCATGGACGGCCCTGATTGCTTACCATCAGGTAATCCGTCTGCTCGACCAAAGACATAATAAAAAGTAGGCCTAAAGCGTCCATCTTCCGGGCGAGAAAGAGGGATAAAGCTATAAAAGGTGTATAGCTCCATTCCTCATTCTCGCCTCGAAGATTGACGTTTAAACAAGTCAGGGTAGGCCCTCAGGTTATTGATCACATCAGACTCAGAAACAACATTTTGTGGATCACACAAAGAGTTTTTCCGTATGAGATCGCACCCACTAGATTTTAGGAAATTTCCATCTCACTCTTATCTTAATTTATACTAAAAAGTTACGATGTTTGGACGTTTGTTACTTAATCACGCCAAAACCGCTGTAGGGATCTGGATGAAATTTGGCACAGGCATAGGATACACTCCGGAATAGGACATAAGCTACGTTTTATAAACATACCACATGGGCGAAGCCGCGGGCGGAAGCTAGTTACTTATAATAATAAACATAACGTTGAATGTTTGTAACTTACTCGACGTCTTCGCTGTGTTTAACAGAATGATATAAATGTTCTTCATACGCCTTCCTCGTCTCAAACCTGATGTCACACCGGGAACAGAACGTGTTTATTTCTTCTTTGTCACGATTCTAGAAGATAATAATTTTAAATTTAATTTAAAATTAAAAAAGCACAACAAGAACATATTCTACCTTTAAAAAATTGAAATCGTTTCATCCGTTCAGGAGCTATGATGCAACAGGCACACAAACAGGCAATTCAAACTTATTTAAATTGTTGTTTTTGTGACGTACAAGTCATAACCTTTCATTTGATACCCCACTCGAGCATATTTGCAGACATTCGGTTTTTCTTCCCCACTTTAACCCTCCATAACTTCGGCTCAAAGATTATCAAACTATGGCATTTTTTTTGTGATAGGTCGGTAAACGATCGGTCGGTCCGTATACATCCAAACTAATATTATAAATGCTAAAGTAACTGTGTCCGTCCGTCAGACATAGTTTGGAACTCGAGAAAGGACATAAGATAGTTTTTATACCAAAAATCTGCAGGAAGTCACTATTCTACTCGACCGGATTCGCGGGCAAAAGCTACTATAATATATTGTTACTTACAACGACAGTTGTAACATGCATGGTGCGTTTGTGCATGCTGAGTCCGGCGACACTAACGAAGGAGGCCCCGCATAGAGTGCACACGTGCTCGCTGCGGTGCGTACGCAAATGCGTGTAGTACGTTGATAAATGTCTGGAATAGAAAAAAAAGTTCTAAAACATATATCCAAAGTCTCTAAGTACTTATAACATGAGAAAACACAATGATATGAGTGAATCCATACTAATATTATAAAGAGGTAAAGTTTGTAAGTTTGTATGTAGGGGGTAATCTTTGGAACCGCTGGTGGGATTGTCAAAATTCTTTCACTGATAGATAGCTACAACATTCCTGAGTGCTATAGGCTATAAAATATCACGCTACAAACAAATGGAGCCGAGCAGCGGGTGAAACCGCGGGAGAGAAGCTAGTAGCCTAAAATAAAGTTTTTTTTTCTCTGTACAAAAGTGGCGATCTGTCTATGCAGACATGAAATTCAGTCTACCCTATTAATATTGGTGCATTCGTATTCATTTGTTTAATGTTTGAACATCGATCACTAATAAAGAACTAGATACACAATCCCATACAAAAGTTCGCTTCAAAACTGTCGCCAACTGTATTTAGGTACTTATACTTGAAATAAAAATGCATTAATGTAAATTAAACTTTAAATGCAACTCATAGAGTTGTTTTTACAAAGTGATGTACAAAATCTTAATACTTTTTGCGACCGAAGCTCTTGACAAACACAAATCATAAGAAATTGAACCATATTCGCATGTTTTTAAGTCGAATTTACAAAGTGTCAAAAATAAGCAATAAAATTTAATGACTTCGGCTCACCGCTAGGACAAAGAATGATTAGAGTCGAAATGTCTCGTAAGAAATATATTTCTTTCGTATTTTATAATTTATCAAAAAAAGAAAATACGCAAATTAAAACGCATTACTTATAGTATTCTTTTCTATAGGTTTGTTCATTTATTTACCAATGAAACTAATGCATATAGTTATAATTCTTTTTTTTTATTTTCGTCCTCCTTAATCCTTTCTATTCGAAGTCAAATAAAAAAGATGTAAAATAATAAAAAGAATATATATCTAAAGTAAGTACTGAAAATGTTGGCGTTATTGTTGTCAATTTTTCATATCGAACGGGTCTTGATGAAAGCTAAAAAAAAAATTTCTTTACTGCAGTTAAAATTAAATCCATTACATCTGCCTATTCCATATTTTAATAAACACAGTAAAGAAGTATAATATAAAATAAAAACAATTTTTTAATAAAAAAAAACAATAAATAAAATTAGAAACAATAGCGTCTCCACTGAACGGAACAGAATCAATCCACGTAAACCGAACAACTTAAGTGGTCATGCTAGAGAGTGATTTTACGTTTAGTATAAGTGTCTTTATAAACTGTGTGCATTATAACCCCGGTTTTTTAATACGATTTCATTTGGAAAAAGTTTTAAAGTTGATTTCTTAATAAAATATCAATATTTAAAATAGAATGATGACATTTATATAATGATAATATTATTACTTAACAAAAATATGAAATTCCATCCTTTTTTGTATCTTAGATGTGTGTGTTTTTGCAGTTTTTTAACGAGCACTGAGGCGTGTTTACCGTCGGAGCATTCGAGTGGTACTAAACTAAAACTACACCGCAATGTTGAGTTTGGTGGACTTTCAGTTGGGACATTTTTTTGCCACTGATTGTGTATCTAGTTCTTTATTAGTGATCGATGTGTTTGAAATAAATTATTTTTGACATATATCTATATTATTTTTATTGAATTTGTATCCGTGACATAAACATTGATGAATTACTGTATTAAATTCACCTAGTTGACATTTTTGATTTGTTTTGATTTGATTTTGACATTACTATAATATTTTAATTAAATAATAACAATATTTAATTCATGCTGATTGAGGATGATAATTGGGTACCTAGTTTCCTAGGTCAAAAATAAATTAATTTGACGTTTCAATACAATGAAATATCGAAAAATAACTATACTTTTTTATTCATCGATCGATTGATACACAATTTTTTTTTTAAGAAATAAGTACTCTCTTTGACACTAAAATACTACCTATGACGTCATAATTCTGTTTTTCATACAAATTTCATAGAAATGTATCGTTTTTGACATTTGAATAAAAGTATTGAATTTGACTGGTTGGAAAAAAATGCAATTATAATCCATTCTGATGATGTCAAAGTATAGTTTGAAATGAAAAACATAAAAAAAATTATAGTTGTGATACCTGAATTCCTCTCCGCAGTGCATGCATTTCCTGATCACACCATTGTGATAGTCATTGTGAAATAAAGCGGTGTTCCTGCAAAAAATATTACCAAAAACATATCAGAAATGCCAGTATCAGTGTTAGGAGAACCGAACAAGGCCGAGAATATAGTGTAGCTAATGTTTCTTTTCTTTCTTGTTATTTATATTCATCTTCCCATCATCTTCAGCCTATAAAATGCCCACTGCTGAGCAAAGGCCTCTTCTCACACGGAGAAGGTTAAAGCATTAATCACCACGCTTGCTCAATGCGGGTAAGCGATTTCAAACTTATAATTAGAAATTATAAGTCCAGGTTTCCTCACGATGTTTACCTTCACCGCATGTTGGTGGTGTCTAAATAATCATAGAAAGTATATATAACTCGGAAAAAGTCACATTGGTACTTTCCAGGTTTCGAACCCGCACCCTCATGCATGAGAAAAGGGCTTCTCAACCTCCGGGCCACCAGGACATCATTTATATTATTACACTATTATAGAATATTTCTAGTATATTTTTTTAATCTTTTCTGTGAAATTCGATACAGACATAGTTTGGAACTCGAGAAAGGACATAGGATAGTTTTTATAAAAGCTAAACCTAGTCACTAATAAACTACAAGGGGTTGGCAATGCCCTTGTAGTAACTACCTTTGGTACTATGAGTGTCCATGGGCGGCGTCGATTTTTGCTTACGACCAGGTAATTCTTAAGCTCGTTTGCCGGCGTAACGTCAACGTAAATACATAGCAAGTATAATAAAGATGTGTGTGAAAATCCATATACAGTCGCCACATGCCACTCTCAGTATGGTCAACAACTAAACAGTGAAGAGTTATAACAAGAACAAGAAATAAAAATAATGTAAAACCTTTTTTGAGTTGAGAATGATGCAAATACGATAAGTAGTCTTAAATTATCAACGAAACGACCAACAGGAAACAACAACAAAAAAATAGTTTGAAATGGATACGACGCCAGCATGTCAACCTACTCATTTCTGTCGATTAAATTTGTGTTTTAATATAAAGTACTTAGTCCTACTTTTTTATGTAATGGTTCGGCAAACGAACGAGCAGACGGTTTACCTGATGGTAAGCAATCAGCGCCGCCCATGGACACCCGCAACGGAGGAGTTACGAGTGCGTTGCCGACCTTTTAAGGATTAGGGATTTGCAGACTTGGGATTTGGATTGAGGAGGGATTGGGGGAGGGGAAGGATTGGGCATCCGATAACGTCACTCACGCAACGAAACACAACGCTGAGGTTGTTTCACGCCGGTTTTCTGTGAGGCCGTGGTATCACTCCGGTCGAGCCGACCCATTCGTGCCGAAGCATGGCTGACCCACTACTAAATTCATTTAGTTCCTAATACAATATTTGTAGTAGGATAACCTGCTAGCGTTTGTGTAAGAAATGTATACATACTCACTTTAAGGGACATATGAGATCACACCTCAGGCATTTGTATTTGGTATAATGTTGACTTATATGTCTGGTTAGAAAGCATTTCCGTTTGAACCGCATGTGGCAGAAACGGCAGACTATGGGGCCTACAGACTGAAAAAGAAGTGCATTTAAAAAAAAAACAAATATAATAGGTTTTATCTATGAAATTGCCGTTTTGCATGAAAAAATTTAAACGAATTTTTTGTTTTGAAATACGATGAAAATGTAACACTAATCAATAAACAAATAACTACGTTTGGAAAAAGAATCCCATATTTTTAAAACAAAATTAATTAGCCTTAGCCTAACAAAAACAATTTTGATTTGAAATGGCCAGTACTGCAGAACGGCAATTTCATATGTAAAGACCTATTATTTATCGCCATCGTCTTACAGAACTATGAAACTAAGAATAGGTTTAAGTAAAGAGGGATTTTTTTTATATCATAGGTCGTAAAAGGAGCTGCGGATTGCTTTATGGTAAGCTATCAGAGCCGCTTATGGACTTTCGTAGTACCAATGTAGTTACTACAAGTGCGTTGCCGGCCTCTTTATTAGGGACTAGCTGCAAGGTTTCACCCGCTGCCTGTTTTATAGCCTATAGCAATCAACAAGGAACATTGGAGATCTACCAGTGAAAGAATTTTTCCAATCCGACCTGTGGTTCCAAAGATTACCCCCTACATACAATCTTACAAGTTTTACCTCTTTACAATATTAGTTAGGGATTTAAGGATAGGGGATTTAAAGATTGAGTGTGGGAGGGGGAAGAATTGAGCCTCCGGTAACCTCACTAACACGAAACAAAGTAAGTGTTGCATCACGCCGGTTTTCCGGAATGAGAGCCATGCTTCGGCACGAATGGGCCGGCTCGACCGGAGTGATACCACGACCTCACAGAAAACCAACCCAAAAAACACTCGCAGGGTTTCCTTATGTGAGAGAGATTATAAGTAGTCCAATTCTTTCGTTGAAATTTTTTTCTCCTTTTTAGAAGACCCAATCTTCTTCGACCGAACCTCAGTCTGATTTGAGAATAAGACCCTTCCTATCCATCCCCTAATCACCGAATTTTTGAACACCACAAGACAGGCAACGCAATTGTAACACCAGGTGTTACAATTGGGTAGTTTCCTAGGTCAAAAATAAATTAATTCGACGTTTCAATACAATTTAAGTGTGGGAGAGCCATGGTCGGCTCTACCGGAGTGATACCACGGCCTCACAGAAAACCGGCGTGAAATAACCAAAGCGTTGTGTTTCGCCGTGTGAGTGAGGTTACCGGAGGCTCAATCCTTCCCATCCCCCAAACCCTCCTCAATCCCTAAATCTCCAAAATCCCTAATCGGCAATAAAAGGTCGGCAACGCACTTGTAACTCCTACGTTGCGAGTGTCCATGGTCGGCGCTAATTGTTTACCATCAGGCAATCCAAGCTCGTTTGCCAAAGTCAAAGTCAAAGTCAAAAGTAAAAAATAATAGTTTTTGATTTTTTTTAGCTTATTATTAAGAAATAAGTAAGCTTATTTGACGCAAAAATGTACACGTCATAACTCAGTTTTTCATACAATTTTCATGGAGAGGTATCGTTTTTGACGTTTGGATAAAAGTATTGAATTTGACTAGTTGGAAACAACCGGATTGCGTTGTCTGCCTTTTAGTGTTGCGAGAGTCCTTGGGCGGCGCTGATTGCTTACCATCAGTTGACCCGGTATCTCGTTTGCCAGCCTATTGCATAAAAATCTTAAGTGAACAAATATCTTGGACAAAAACTTCTAACATATATATATACTTTGTAAGACTTACCTCACAATGTCTTAATTTAACATGCCTATTTATCATATCCTCTTTTGAGAAACCTTTGTAACAATCAGTGCATTTATATGCCGCCGACACATACTTCCGATCATTCGCTCTCGCTCTAAATTCTTCCAACGCTTCCTCTTCATTCAAATTAATCTTCAACCAATGACTAGGATCCAAATTGTCAGCTTCTGTATGCAAAACTTCAAACCTCTTACGTTTTCTATGAGTCTTCTTTTTTGCTTCCCTTTTTTTGTGATTTATTTTATCTTCTTCAATTACCATGTTAAAACTGTTCTCTTGCTCAATAATATTGTCCATTTGAGATTCTTCTTTTATGACCTTAAAGTCATTTAATTCTTCTGTTTGTACTTCTTCATTGTCTTCAAATACATGGTCATCTTCTAGACCTGTTATTTCATTTTCTATATGCATCACATTTTCAAAATCATTGTTAATCTTCTCTTCGGACATTTTGCATTCTTCTTTTTCATATAACATTTCGTTTTTTATTTCTGTTAAGGTTTGACTGTCCACTGAAGAGTCACTGTTGTAATTGATTGTGAATTCTGTTAGTTTGTCATTTTTTCCTTCTTTTTTTACTAGTTTTAGTGTTTTACTCTTTATAATAAAAGTTCTTATTCTTTTGTTTGTGGAAAGAATATTTATAGAAGATTTTAAGTTGTTGCTCTCTCTATCTATTTTGGATATTGATGATAGTGTAATCTGTAAGTGGATTTGACCTTTTGATTTGATGTCATAAATGGATTTCTATGAGAATAGATGTTGTTTATTAATTAATCAAACAATTTTAAAGAGTACATTCATTTATGAAGTTGTAACTATGAATAAGAAATATAGCAGATATCTATGTGCGATCTATAGTTCTATAAAATGTAATACAATAATATATGATAGTAGTAAATTTGATTTTAAAAAGCAGAATATTTTATTTGTTTGTTCGAACATGCTAACCTTAGGGACTACTGGTTAGAATTGAATAATTATTTTTGTATTTTAAAAAACAATTTATTTATCGATGAAGACTATTGTCCTTAAAACAATATGCTATGATAAATAGAAGTCAAGCAACATGTTTAACCATGGAAATGCTAGTTTAATCATCATCATCATCATCAAACCCTATTGTGTCTGAAAGGTAAAAAACCTAGCGGCCGATTTTTCAAAAGTCAGATAAATGGTATCTGAGGAATAAAACTGTCCAATACAAACATTCTGACCCGGCAGCATCATAATTATTCCCTGGGAAACTGATACACACATGAACAATTCATATAAAGTGATGGCATTATTCAATAATTGCAAGTGAAAAGAGACAAATATGAAAAAGTGTGGCTAGTTAGCCACATATTAATATATCACTTACTGAGCACTTGTAACCTTTTTACTTACATATGTAACCTTTTTACTTATAATATCGATGATTGAAACACTTCATAAAACAATACTTACAGATCCATTCCAGGACAATTCATTAAGAGCTTGCTCTGCTCTGTAGCATTTTTCTTTAAACTTATGAAACTTATACAACATGCCAGCACATTCATAGCAAAAACAGTTTGGAAGACCATCTTGTATATTTATCTGTAAAATATAAAAACAATAGCAACAATAGAGATTTTTGAACATTCTTCTCCGTTCGAAGCAACAGTTTGGAACAAGCCTACACTGATGAACAGACTGACAGACTACTATCCTATTTTGACGTTTTAAAAGCATCTATTAGTGGTTTAGTTGGAATAAATGATTTTGACTTTATTTTGATCCATTTGCATTTTTAATAGATAAATAAATTTTGTTTATTTTGTAAACACACTATTGTTAATAGCAACTAGTTGTATGCATACATTGAGCTGCTTGGGGAAGAAGAGGCATCCCCTGGTTATTAGAGCAATCCCGGAGGTATGGTCAAGACCCCTAACAGCATCTTACTGAGATACATACTTCCCCGGAGTCCCCTTCAACTCCTACTATTTTAAATTAAACGTATACTGTGTAACATTGTTATTTAGGTAGGTACTATTGTTAGGTAGGTCTTATATAGGTAGGTTTACCCTTATTGGTCATAAGGAGGTTTTGATTCAATCTCTACTTTGGTGTCTTTAAAAGCAGGTCTGTTTTTAGCATCAACCTTTTTGCTTACAAGCCCCATTGAATGAGTTTCCTAAGGGCGTAAGTGTATTTCAGAAGCACATATATCATCGATATAGTTTTATTCTGCCTGACAACGATCTAGGACGGTCAGCACTAAATTGTAGTCCACTAACTATTAATTAATTACTAACTATAGTAATTTATAGACGAAATTTAGAATATGTTTTAAGCTGAATATACTTGTATATCGGAATCTCTAAGTGTAGTGCTAAGTTATAAATAAATAGAGAAGACATAAATATTGAAATCACTTACTTTTTTAGCTAGAACTTCTTCATAATATTGCTTTAAATGAAAACGATCGTAACTATATATTTTTACGTCTTTACACAAGCATATACGGCAAACTTTGAGGTCAGACATAATGATTAATTATTTTTACACTTAAATCTATTATTTAATTCAACATTCTGCACAGTGCACATTTTACATACATTGTTTACTTTTTTTTCTTTCTTCAATGGCAAGTATGGCAACCGAGCCTTCAATTTAATGTTGTCGACTATACCAAAGAGTATGTAACCACTACGTTTAGACTATACTGCCAGTAGTGCCAGTGTCAAGTAGTGACGGCAAATTGTAGGCCCGTCGAGCTTTAAAACTTTGTGGTAGTTTGTTGTTAGTAGCTGAAAGGACAACATATGGGTTAGTAAAACTATAGCTACCTATCCTATCCTAAACAATTCTACTTTAATATTATTATTATAATAAAGATAAATGAGGGGAATACACAACTGATATACCTCTACCTATACACCTTTACAGTTTCATATAATTTTCATTAATAAATTTAGATTTTGAGACATTTTATTAGTTTATCCAAAAAGTGAGATAAGAGGAAGTGAAAATTGATGGGAAGGGAGATTTGGATATTGGGGAGTTTTTTGTAGAGATCATAGGATTGGGAGTTTGAAAGGGGCAAGAAAAGAAAATATGGTCCAAAGTACCCTCATCAAGACCGCATTCACACAGCGAGCTGTCGCGAACGCGTATCTTTTTGAAGAAGACCGGACTGCTGCAATGGCCTAGTCTGAGTCTGCACAAAGTTGCAACAGTGTGTCGGGGGAATTTGGTATATCTGTAAAACTAAGGTTTCCGCTGGATGTCAAACTGGATATTGGCATAATGGGCACCTTTCCGTATGGAAGAGTCCACCCACACTGCAGTCCAAGATTTGAAAAGCTTGTGTCTGCTCGTATATCATACCCGTACACAACGTTATGTTGGTTTTTTACATTGTTCGAGGCCGCAAACTTTGCCAACTTATCCGCACATTCGTTAGGTACCACATATGCCAGAGTGACCCGGGATCCAAGCTATTTCTATTTTTGAACCATCTTCATGCCGCGCAAAAAGTAGAGCTTTTATTTCTTTATTAAAACATCAAGTCGCTACTCGCTACGTACGGGCCCGCGCCAATGCTACCTACCTGCTGTTGTCACAGGTTACTGAACTTCGTATTAAAATTGGCGTTCTATTTTGCAAGGATTGCCACCGGAGGCAAATGGGAATAAAAATTCCCAGTCGCCTCCGGCGACAACTGGGAAGCCATTGCCCCCACTTCAGTTTCGCTGTACATTGCTTTCTCTATCGTACAGAATAAAAGGATAAGGCAACTTATCCTAAACCTGCCTGTCTCTAAAAAAAGACCAAAGTGCATTGAAATATTTATTTTGATTTTGATATCAATAAACTTGTTAAAATTAAACATTTAAACTGGTATTTTGTATCACAGATAATTAGAGGCGACTGGGAATTTTTATTCCCATTTGCCTCCGGTGGCAATCCGTGATCCAACCCCGACATCCTACAATCGAGAATCACACCTAGGAATCTAGCCTTGTTGCTGATCGGAATTGCCTGACCGTCTATTTCTATGCGGAGATCTGGATACCGTCGTCTACGCGTAAAAATTACAGCCGAGATTTTTGGGGCGCTTAAACATAATCCATGATTAAGTAGCCACTGGTTTAATGTGGACAAAGAGACATTCATGGAGCGGGCGGCGTCCGTTATAGAGCTGTTGGTGATCATTAGTGCGATATCGTCAGCGTATTGTAGCATATTGCAGTCATAATTTAAACAGGAAGGAAGATCATGGGTGTAAATATTGAAGAGGATGGGACTAAGAACTGACCCCTGGGGTAATCCCCTCTAGGCAGTTCTCTGTAATGGACTATCCTTAGGAGTCCTTAATTGGCGGGTACGGTTGGAGAGGATATGGCTTATAATCTGGCAAATCCTACTCGGAATTCTCAGCTTATGCATCTTTTGCCTGAGAAGGGGTAGGAGAGACCGCAACCAACGACCTACCCCTGCTAAGGGCCAGTGGAATGGCCAATGTGAGGGCGCGCCCACACTATCGGCTGTACTCAAGCCCTTTCTAAAGCCAAATTGAACACACAACCAGACACAACCCTACTGTGGCCAGAACTTCTGGACTGTTTTGTCCTCTTAATAATTTCCATAAATATACAGTGTGAGCTACTTCTCTTCTTACCTCAAGTTTATAATAACCTAATATAAAAAGAGTAGGATATAGTAGGGGATACCCTGGGTACACACCATGCTGTTTTAAATACAAAAATCTAATTTGTTCTGTATACGCTCTAACATTATTCTATATTTGGCTTCATGGGGCGACCAAACTATGGCATTGCATTCTAAATGGCTTTTAACTAGTGCTTCATACAGTGATCTTAGTGCATGGAAGTTAGTAAATTGATTTGCTAGCCGTAGAACCATTCCTAAATTACGGTACGCTTTCTTACAAACCTCAGCAACATGTCTCCTGAAAGTGACATCGGCAGCAAAGCGCACACCGAGGTCCCTGACTTCCGAGACACGCTGGAGTGGCGTTCCTCCCATGTAGGTAGTACTGATGATGACTGGGGCTTTTTTTGTGTGGGGAAAATCATCAAACGACTTCTCCCGCCCAGGGCCGGGCGGGAGGGAGTGTCAGACTCTAATAGTTTGGAATATTGGTCCCAATCAGCTGATTTTAGCCGATATTTAAATAAGGGAGGAAGAGATTTATCGGGTATGGATTTACATGGGCTTTTAATAATAATATGATAGTGATCACTACCATAGCTCATAATTTATCGAATCAGCCGTAACATTGCGGAAATCCATGACATTAAATGTTAGAAAAAATATTTAGTTTTATTCCGCGACAAAAACCAGGCTTGTTGCAGGATGCAATCCCACTCCTATGCAATCATGCATGTGCACATGCAGCAAAGGTAACATGCACATGCACACGTGCAAAAAACGGAAAAACATGCTACGCAATCAAACCTATACTCGACACGTGTTTGCCCTTCCACAGGGCATCCTCAGGAGATGTTGACTCGACGAGCGCTTGGTAAGGTAAGTCAACATCTCGCTCGGTGAAAAAACAATAAAGCTTTCCATGGACTCCATATCTAGCAATTGCTTTTCCATTGTTTTAACGGTCCAAGCACTTGTTCAATCAAAAATCAATCTTACCACGTATTAAATAAAACACAAAACCTAGAAATAATACTTTACTAGAAATAAAATAAACATTCTTATAAAATGTACACTTAAAGATAAACTACACTACCGTTACACATCCACGCTTATACAAAATAACATTAATTACTAAAATTGTATATTGTTTTAGTATTTAGAGATCTATGTTATTTATTATAGTTACCTTTATAATAATATAATTATTATTATATAATTATTATATACTAGATATAAATACAACATTAAGAGTAACGAGTTTCGGCAGTGAATAATTTCGGAAGACAATTTAATTAATGTAAGTACCGATTACATGTTACACTATTTTTTTTATTAGGGAAACTTAAATAACTTGTCTCGCCCAGGGTGAAGCGAGAGGGAGTGGCAGACTCTTACTGACTAAAAACCAACTCGTTGCTTCTCCTGCTCTAGGTCGGGGGCGTGGAACATTATTCCTCTTGACCCGCAAAACCAGCTGAACATCAGCCCTATGGGGCCCCGTCTGTGGAGGTCTATTGGCTCTTTAAGGCGCGCGCGGGACGCTACGTGCCTTACACTCGGGTCTGGTTCTAGTCGGGCGGCGAGCTACCCTTACTCACCGTCCTTGCGGTGGCCGGAGATCGTCGCTCGATCCCAGGAGGTTTACGTATTCGATAGTTATGTTACGATAGTTCCCATATTTATTGCTATGCAAAAGGTATTCCAGATACCATGCTACTAATGAATTATAATAATAATAATCGGATTCAACTTTTACAGTGCATACCGGGATAATACGGTAGTTTCCAACTAGTCAAATTCAATACTTTTATCCAAATGTCAAAAACTATACTTTTCTATGAAATTTGTATGAAAAACTGAGTTATGACGTCATAGTATTTTTGCGTCAAATAGCTTACTTATTTCTTAAGAATTAGCTAAAAAAATCTAAAATTTAGTGTATCGATCGATCGATGAATAAAAGTATATAGTTATTTTTCATTATGTTATTGTATTGAAACGTCGAATTAGTGTTTATTTTTGACCTAGGAAACTACCCAATTGCCGGCTGATGTCCCATCACATTTAGATTAAAACTGTTCAACGGGCCTCTGCGAGTTGGCTTCGGCCCCTCGTACGCCTTTCCAAGAAAAGAATAAAAATTTGCCCGATCTAAAAGCAAAGTTGAGACCTTCTGGCATTTTTAATATACAAAGATCAGGTTGTGCTTAGAGTTAAAATTGTTACTTATTACATTTTATATAATAACATATTTACATTTTTTTAATAACTATTCGAGTACTACACTCAAGTAGCTATGTAAGTTGTTTATAAGTATTACCAATTTTGTTTCTTAACCAATTTGTCTATCTTTGAGAAAGTTGGTTTAAAATAAAAATAAAACGTGACATGTATAAACTACATGAAAATTTAAAAAATAACTGTAAAATCAATGTTCCAAAAAGAAGTATGTATACATGTATAAAAAAATGTTTCAAAAAACCATTTGGCATATAAACGATATTAAAGGAATAATCGATCCTACAGATTTAAATAAATACAATTTACAATACAATAATATGTACGTATAATCAACATATTTGTGCTTATTGATAAAAGTTTATTAAAAGGAGCAAAGTTAAAAAAATGATTTTGTTATTACTGCCGTATTAAAGAGACATTTATTGATTACTCGAACTGTTAAGTTACTCCTTAGCGAAAATAATAATTGTTTCCAGCTTTTTTTTGTGAGGGGAAAATCATCAAATGACTTCTCCCGCCCAGGGTCAGGCGGGAGGGAGTGTCAGACTCTTACTGACTAAAAGCCCCCTGTTCCTACTCCTGCTCTAGGCCGAGGTCGCGGTGCCTCATTGCGCTTACCACGCAACCCCGGCAATTGTTTCCAGCTTGGATTAAGGTTGAGTGCCCTTAAAGACTTTGAGTATGGCGATTATTAATTTTATTTCAATAATAATTGTTGCCTAATGGCATTTTTAATCAAATGATAAAATCAAGACCTTAGGCGAAACTAGCGCCATCTAGTTAATAAATAGGTACGGATTACAAATCCGTAGTTATATTACATTTTGTGATTTTTTATGACCTTCTTTAGCTGCCTTTATTATTTACAGGACAACAATTAGCTCTGGTTGGTTATTAGATTCCAGGTCAGTATTCAAAGGAAAACATACAAATATAAATCATATTCCACTTGCCTTTAAATCCATAATTGAGTAGTACAGATTTGAAAATATCCCTCCTAACGAGGTAGGCAGTACGTATAGCAATTCTATTTTAATGTCATCCTACCGACAATTTTTCAAACAAATTTCAATTTTGAACCAAAACAATAAAGTTCAAAATCGAAGAGAGAAAAGAGAAGGTTGATATGCTGACCGCTAGAACACAATACATGCAGTAATACAAACCAGTTTATCGTGGTCTCACATTGTATGATGACTCCACAGAATCAAAGGTCAGTTGACACTGGTTATGCGAAGTTTGATATACATAAAATATGAGTATTTTGTAAATTAATTATAAATAATATACATATGTATAATAATTAAAACTTGCGCGCGTAAAAGTTATCCAATGTCATATTATCGTCCGAATCTTCGTGTACATAGTCATCCTTTGATAGTTCATCGGTTTTCTTTTTTCTGTTCCTGTAATGAAAATTGATAAAAATTTAGATATCAAAGATTTTCTAAAGAAAACATTTATGCAGATGTAATAAGGAAGAAAGATTTTATTGTTCGATTTTTATTCAATATCATTTTTTTTTATGTAATAGGTCGGCAAACGAGCAGACGGATTACCTGATGGTAAGCAAACAGTGCCGCCCACGGACGCCCGAGGAGTTACGAGTGCGTTGCCGACCTTTTAGAGATTAAGGATTTGGAGATTTAGGGATTGAGGAGGGATTGGGGGAGGGGAAGAATTAGGCCTCCGGTAACCTCACTCACACGGCGAAACACAACGCTGTGGTTGTTTCACGCCGGTTTTCTGTGAGGCCGTGGTTTCATGGTTTCCGGTCGAGCCGACCCATTCGTGCCGAAGCATGGCTCTCCCACAATCATATTATTATGTCGGTAAGATGGGGTAAGCAATCAGCGCCGCCCATAGACAATCGGAATACCAAAAGAGTTACTAAAAGTGCGTTGCCGGCCTCTTGTGGCTCATTAGGGATTTAAGGATAGCGAATTTGGGGATTGAGGATAGGGTGAAGGGTTGAGGACAGTATTGGGCGAAACACAACGCTGTGGTTTTTTCACGCCGGTTTTCTGTGAGGCCGTGCTATCACTCCAGTCGAGCCAATCATGTCGAAGCATGGCTCACACTTTGAATAGGCTATGAAACTACTTGAGCGATTAGAAAAAAAAAACACTGTTTACTATCCCCAGCGATTATTCTGAAGCATGGCTCTCCCGCCCTTAGAATATTTTACTAGAACTTAATCATAATCATAATTCTTTATTGCATCCACAATGTAAGATAAGATGGTAATAATATGTATAGTAACAATCATGGACCCTGATGGGCACAGCAAATAGTAAATTAGAAGAGAGGCAGGCTTCTTTTGTATAGAATTATGCTCAAGTATTTCATATTCTAAGTATGTATAGTATTGCTATTATATTTATATTTTAATAGGTATTTAGATATTATTTACTTATATTATTAACTTTATATTATTAACTTTCTTCCATTCTCTTATATTTCCCTCACCTCTTAGGATACGGTTCTTTAAGATGGAAGGTGCGGTAATGTAGCTTCATACTGCTGACTTGCTTAAACCGTTTGTCGCATAGAGTGCAAGCTACCGGCTTCTCGCTGGTGTGCGTCTGAAACAAAATCGATCGTAAATCTATGAAATAAGAGTTGAATTTCGTTGGTAAACTTACATTTAAAAAAATATGAATTGTCGTTCGTTAGTGTCGCTAATTTTCGGAAACGGCTGGATAGATTTTGCTAATTACGGTCTTCAACTATTTCTGGATATATCGAAAAGATTTAAAAAGTACAAAAAAAAAAAAAAAATTGGAGCCGTACCGACTTCGTAGTCTCAGCTAGTGTTTTATAAATATAAAAGTGTTATGAGTAAGTAAAATTTTAATAAAAAAACGGTATGAATATGATACTGAGTCGGTATGAATGTGAAACTGAGTCGGTATGAAAATGATACTGAGTCAGTATGAAACTCATACTGAGTTGGTATGAAACTGATACATACTAAGTTGCTATGAAAATTATATTTAGTCAGTATGACAATTTATACTGAGTGACATTGAGTCTGTATGAAATTGACATTGAGTCTGTATGAAAACGATACTGAGTCGGTATGTGACTGATACTGAATCGGTATGTGACTGATACTGAATCGGTATGAATATGATAGAAAGAAAGAAAATTGGTAAAAGCCCCCTCCCATTAGGTACCCCTTCTTATAGCTCACCAGTTGATGTGTAGTCATGCCTCCCTTACTGCTGAACTGTCTGCCGCAGGTGTTGCAGGTGTACAGCTTCTCTCGGGTGTGAGTGTTTAAGTGACTGGAGACACTGCCCGGCTGGAAGGAAACCATTATTTGTTAACAAGGAACTTCTGCACGACTTCGGTATTTTATCAGCTCCTATTGTTAATAGCGAGTCGACGTTTCAATACAATATTGAAAAATAACTATACTTCTATTCATCGATCCGTCGATACGCTAAAGTTTTCAATATTTGTTAGCTAAGTTTTAAGAAATAAGTACTTAAGCTGTTTGTCGCAAAAATAGTATGACGTTCGCCATAATTGTGTTTTAGTTTAGATGCTTAACTGAAGGTAAAATCTTGGTAAGTCTTATTATACCAAATAAGTCATATAAAATAGAAACGAAAAACATTTAGTTAATTAGCTAACATACTTTTATATAACATACATTTTTAACAAGAATTTTTAGACAACTTTTATATAAAAACACATACTTAGATTGTTTACATTTAGTTAATTAATTTATAGAATCAGGCGTAACTTTGCGGAAATCTATGACATTAAATGTTAGGAAAAATATGTAGTTTTAATTCGGCGACAAAAATCCAGGCTTTTTGCAGGATGCAATCCCACTCTTATGCAATCATGCATATGCACATGCAGCAAAGGTGACACACCACAGACTCGCCGAGCGCTCGTCGAGTCAACATCTCCTGAGGATGCCCTGTGGAGGGGCGAAACACGTGTAGAGTATAGGTTTGATTGCGTATGACACGCAATCAAACCTATACTCTTTTTCTTCTAGTTTTTCCGTTTTTTGCATGTGTGCATATGCATGTTACCTTTGCTGCATATGCATGATTGCATAGGAGTGGGATTTCATCCTGCAACAAGCCTGGATTTTTGTAAGGGAATTAAAACTAAATATTTTTCCTAACATTTAATTTTGTTAATTACCTAAACCGTTAGATCGTAGTAGGATTATAAACACATGACATACCGCTAGTGACATCCCGCAGATCTCACAGATGTGTCTCTCGTTGGGCGCGAAGAAGGAAGTTCGCGGATGTTCCGCTAGATGGTGCTTTCTGCAAGCTGCTTGCGTCGCGAAGTGTTTTCCGCACTAATTGAATATAAAACAAAAAAAATTATAAGTAAAATTATCAAGAGCAGTCGTATAGATATTTCAGACGTGATGTATACGACCTAAGGTTAATTAAAGACCTTTATAAACTGAAACTTTGGAATGATCTTTCGGCGGCGGTATTCCCGAACTGCTAGGACTTTCAAACTTTTAAGAAATGTGTGTTCTCTTTCTTAAAACGCCGGCAAGATATTAAGTAAAATAGTGTAGATAGGCTACCTAAACAAAATTCGATTTTCAAAAACGACACATGAACAATTCGTATGTTTAGACGACCAAGAGAGATGGCATGATTCAATAATCGCGAGTGAAAGAGAGACAAATATGAAAAAGTGTGGCTAGTTAGCCACATATTAATGTATCACTTGCTGAGCGCTTGTAACCAACCTATTTACACCTTTTTACTTATAATATCATTGATTAAAAAAAAAAAAAAAAATAGCTAAAATAATGATGAGAAAATTAAATTCCTTAAAGAGGCGAACCTTCAAGAAACGCACATATTCATTCTTAAAAGGCCGATGGATGCATGGTAATCTTATTTATATAAAAAAAATGGATCGCAAAATGTATTGGTAAGCGCATAACTCAACGACGCCTGGACCAATTTTGCTAATTCTTTTTTTGTTATGTTTGTTATTGTCAGGAGAAGGGTCTTATCAAAGAAAATATTAGAAAAATGGAGGGGAAGATTAGGAAAAAGTGACCCTTTTATAGCGAGATAGTTGGATCCGTGCGAAGCGGGGGCGGGCCGCTAGTAAGTTAATATAAAAAAGCTACTTACAATATGACAGTCTGTAGGTATTCGAGTCAGCCTCTTGAGGTTCTGCCGCCGTTTCCTGGGGTTAGAAGTGAGAGGTGCATTTATTTCTAAGTCTCTGCAAAACATAAACATATACATACATCTCAGTATAGAGGCCACACGGACGTGGCCCGTGTCTTATTGTAATTAGAACCTAATTCAGATTAGCTTAGAATCAAATTTTCAGTACTTTGTAATGTGATGTATAAGATATACAATTTTGAACCTTTTTGCAATTAAGGTAAAGTATTTTCTAGCGTGCTGGAATGTTAGTCTTAATCCTATTCATCGTCAAGTCGAAACGCTAGTTTGAGGCAATGCATTTTAGACTTTACTTATACTGATATATAGTATATTTTAGTGACATTATACTCTTACAAAGTAGCCTACTTATAATTAAACTATCTTAAAAAAGTATGAAAAAGAGAGGGAGGGAGAGAGATAAAAGGGGGGAGGGAGGAGGGGGGAATAGCAGTTATCGCCTTCTAGGGGATGGGAAGGGGGGTGGTACGTTTAACAAGAGTTTTTCTTTCCACTTATGATGATGTATGACATAAAGCTATGATGAAGATGACATATAATATACTCACTCAATCCCATCCACGTGCATGGCGGAATGTATGAGATGTTCTTCATACGCCTTCCTCGTCTCGAACTTGACGTCACATCGTTGACAGTACTGCTCTTCGCCTTGTGGTAGTTCCTGTGTGGCGATAGAAGGGTAACTTAAAAAAAAGTCTAAAATTGACCCACTCTAGGATTTTCTCCTGTGTCATGGGTGCGTTTACAACTTACAAATTCACATACAAATCAAACCCAGACCCGGAACAACAATTTGTGGATCCTCCGAAACGGCCGTACTGATTTTTACCAAATTTAAGTAGGTCTGAGAATCCGCTACTGGCTATTTTTCATACCCATCGGTGATAAATTAATTTATATGACAAAATAATGTTTGCCGCGTAGTATTTATATGAAAAACTAGCCAATCTCACGCTGTTACATCGCTCGACTTTATTTGATCGTAGCATGATGTTTTGTAGCCTATATAGCACTCAGGAACATTGTAGTTATCTACCAGTGAAAGAATTTTGGTCAAACGACCTGCAGTTTCAAAGATTACCCTTTACACACAAACTTACAAATTTTAACCCTTTATAATAGTTAGTTAGTATAGACTAACACCAGGTTTCTGAAAGGCTTGTCAACGCTAAAATTAACCAATCTACTGTTAAATCTCTTGTCAAGCCATCTGATTGGTTGTTGATAATTCAGTCAACCAATCAGATGACTTGACAGGAGATTAAATTGATTTTAACATTGGTCGGCCTTTCGGAAACCGGGTGTAAGTGTTTGTGGCTACAATAGACTGGTAGACTATTATTTATTACGTTTTTGGCTTACTCACGTAATAATTTGATGATATACTCGACTAGGTTCAAGCGAACAGAACATCGAAAGAGTAGCAGCGCGACAGTCGCCGCGTCGCGTGTCGCGGAATACTGCTCATGAATATGGGCCTCTAGCATGACTTGAAACTAGTCGAGTATCTCGTCAAATTATTACGTAAGTAAGCCGAAAACATAATAAATAATTTAGGATGTCTAACGAAAATTATAATAAAAAAATGGTAGACTATTACTTACAGATTCAGCATTAACATGTTTGATTTTCTTGTGTATGCCGAGTCCAGTGACACTGACGAAGGAGGCCCCGCACAGAGTGCACACGTGCTCGCTGCGATGCGTACGCAAATGCGTGTAGTACGTTGTTAGATGTCTAAATAAAACAAACAAAAAACTAGGTATAATACACGTGTTGTTTTCTTTTTAGGGGCTGATTTTTCAATGCTTAAATAAATGATATCTGGGGAATAATTATGATGCTGTCGCGTCAGAATGTTGGTATAAGATAGTGACAGCAACAATTTTATTACTCACGTAACATTTATCTGACTATTGAACAATCGGCCTTAAATCAAACAGATAGCCTTATTTTCTGTTTATAGGACAAACAAAAATATATTAAAGTTTTTGCTGTATTTAGAAACCATACGAGCCTCTTTATTGAGGTTGGAAAATCATCAAATTGTTTATCTAGAGGGAGTGTCTGACTCTTACTGATTAAAAATAACCCCGTTCCAACTTTCTTTGTTCGTTCGCCTGCTAAAGGCCGAGGCTGTGGTACCTTATTGCGTTTGAACCGCGGCCCCGACTGAACATCGGCCTTATTGGGCCTGGTTTTTGGTTCTATTGGCTCTTTGAGGACCACGCGGAATCGTTCGTTTAAGTGTTCCTTTGCGAGTATCACTATGTAGATAAGGAAATGGCTTCAGAGTTCCTTTTGCTTCGGACCGTGGTCATCGCCGCCGAAGTAAGTATAATGCCTAATCTTTTTACTTATTCAGTATATATATACCAGGGATGTTATGGATATGAAATTTCGGATACGGATTGAATACGGATATAGGAATGATTATTACACTGGATACGGTTACGGATACGGATATGAAATTATTTCGGATTATCCGTTAGTCGTTAGACTTTTATTTCGGATTAGGTTACGGTTACAGATATTTTTTCATATCGGATATGCGATAGTTTTGATTACAGTTACGGAGCTGCCTAACATCCCAAATGTATATGTATGTAGCCAATGAAAACTTACTTAAACTCTTCGCCACAATGATCGCATTTCCTTGTGACACCGTTGTGATATTCTTCATGGAAAAGTGCTGTGGTTCTGAAAATAATAATATACAAGGTCAATATAAGCCACACATTAACCGAATGGATCCGCTCGACCGCATCACAGAAAGCCGACTTGAAAAAACCATCCCAATTTCACCTTCGGACATCCCGGCGTACGGCAAATATCCACCCTTGCGTTGTTGAGACACCTTCGGCCCGGACTAAGCGTTTTGCATCGTTACGTACATCGAGGGATTGGAGCAGTTTGCCGGTTGCAGTCTTTCTGTCCGAATATAATTTAGGTGTCTTCAAGGCTAGAGTGAATAGGCTCTTAATAAACTAGTGCACCTTACCATCTGATCTTCCAATCTGATCAACGATTGCATCACTGCTTACCATCAGGTGGGATCGCAGTCAAGCACTAGTTTATTGCAAGTAAAAAAAAACCCGAAACCCTAATTCACAAAGGGCAACGCACCCGTAAGTCTTTTATTGTTGTTAATGGGCGGTTCTGATCCATCTTGTCGAGAGTGAGCCAGTACTTCACGGCGGAACAACTGCTAAAATTATATCAAGCGCAAGTTTGGTCCTGTATGGAGTACTGCTCTTATTTTTAGGACGGCTTAGTTAAACAGCTGCCAGCTGGACACATTAAAGGGTGTGCTAAGGGGCTCATCAATGACGTGGATATTCCATGTACACGCATGGAGTGATTCACCTCCAGTTCAATTATTAGAACCGCTAATGAGTGCTATTTTTTGTCCAAAGGTGTTGCGAGGGATATATTGTATAACCTGGATATTTTAAGATCCGAGTGAATCGGTTGTTTATAGGTAGGCGTGCATCTAGAAAGGTCACATCATCGCTTACCATCAGACTGTTTAATGATGATATCTATACTAATACTATAAATAGGTAAAATTTGTAAGTTTGTATGTAGGGGGTAATCTTTGGAACCGCTGGTCAGATTGCCAAAATTCTTTCACTGATAGATAGCTACAATGTTTCTGAGTGCTATAGGCTATAAAACATCACGCTACGATCAAATGGAGCTGTGCAGCGAGTGAAACCGAGCGAGAGTAGCTAGTTAGATAAAAACAAAGTGTACTTACTCTAAAGGACAGACGAGGTCACAGCGCAGACATTTGTATTTGGTATAGTGCTGCCTCATGTGTTTGTTGAGGAAACATTTCCATTTGAAACGCATGTGGCAGAAACGACACTCGATTGGACCGTTGGACTGAAATTTAAAATATTATAATTCATACCATTAGTAATAGTTAGTTCAGGCACTACCCTAGGCCTAGTTTAGGCACTCATTATTCTGAACTTGTTTTAAGCAAAAGTGAATATTCTAGATAACTTTTTCAATATTTTTATATTTTTCATTTTAATTTAATTTAATAACTATGGTCTATCAGATGAGGTGATTAACAAATGGTAAAAAATCTTAGTATGTCTTTTTATACATATTAAAGGAGTCGTATGAAAGGCATAGATTATTAAAATTAAGTTTATGACATGAGATTGATTTAAATAATTGATTGTTAAACATTTACAGATAGAACTTTTTGTTTATATTTATTTAGTTAAATACCTAAACTGAAAAACCATAGCTTATTCTAGCGACTTTGTAGCGTAAAATTTGACTCTACCGCTATCGCAAGAGAATGCTATATTATTTCGAGAAAAACAAAATATGGTAAAGGCAAGACAGGAAAGAATTGTAAAGTGTATTATATTTTTGTGTTACATATATTGTAATGTACCGTGGTCCCGGTCCCAGAGCAGGAGAAAGAACTAGGTGGTCTTTAGTAACTCACCTCACTATGTCTTAATTTAGCATGTCTCTTCAACATATCCTCTTTAGAGAATCCTTTCAAACAATCAGTGCATTTGTACTGAGCATTCAAATACCGCTTGTGCTGCCCTCTAGCTTTGAACTCGGCTTCAGCTTCCTCTTCCGTCAAATTTATCTTCAACCAATTATTAGGATCCATTTCGGCCTTCTTTGTAGTTTTTACGGCAAATTTCTTCTCTTTTGGTATCGTTTCTTTTGCTTTCTTCTTTTTACTGCTACTAGTATTTCTCGTTCTCTTCTTTTTCGGTTCTTCTGGTTCGTAATCGTCTTCGTCTTCCGATATTATCTTTATATCATCAACGAATACTTTTTCATTGTCACTCTGTATTTCGTCATCAGTGAAAACTTTTTCTATTTCGAAATTGACGTTTTCCGTCGGTTGTATCTTAGTATCTATTGGTTCTATAATTCCAAAATCATCTATTTTGTCTTTTTCTATCTTTTCTAGTTCAACGAAATCTTCTTTCTTTTCTTTAATATCTATCTTTTCTATGTCTAGTTCGAGTAAATGTTCTTTGTTGTCTTCAAAAGTATTATCTCCAAAATCTCCATCATCGCTTAGAGATGCCACATCTACTTCAACTGGTTTTGTTTCTTGTAATTTGATTTTGTTTGAAGTTTTTACTACACATGTCCGGACTCTTTTGTTTACAGTTATTATGTTTAATGGTATTAGAATATTTTTGCTTTCTCTGTCTATGTTTCGCACTGCTTTTTTTGTTAGCTGTAACAAATGAAAGGCCATTGTAAAAATTCTACTAAATAAATAATTCTAAGTACTTCTTCACTAGAGGAAACCGTAGCTTAAGGCAAAGATTTAATATTAAAAAAATAAATTAGTAGCAAAGTCGCCTTAAGCAAACAGAGTTCCTAGCATTGATATTTGCTTTAGAGATGTCCCTTTGTAGATAACCAGAGCTTTGGCTAGAAACCTAGCTAATATTTTCAGTGGCTAATAAAATAAGGCTGCAGAATATTTTCATATTTTATTTTTTAATTCTATGGTTAGTTTAGTTCAGCTGAACTAAGTGAGTGAGTAATTATTTTCAATAAATTTTGAAATTATAGAATAAGTTAAGTTAGAGAAATTTAATAATCTAATTTTATTTGATAGTTTAGTAATATAATTTTAAGGCTGGATTATACTCACAGGACCCTTCCATAAAATTTCTCTGAGAGCCTTCTGTCCGATGTAGCACTTCTCTTTAAACTTATGAAACTTATGTAGAAGAGCTGCACATTGATAACAGAAGCATTTAGGTAGACCATGCTTTTCATTTACCTGTAAAAAAAAGTAAAAATTTAGAAAGTTTAGAGAGATTTGTTTTATTTTTTTGTAACGTGCTAGTGTTAGCGTAGTTGGTGGAGTGTGTGTTGTGGCTATGTGAGGTATAGAGTGCCGATTGCAGTAAAAAAAATGTGTTGTATAAAAATTCCTAATGTTATCCATGAATAAATCAAAGTCCAAATTAAAAATAATTTATTCCAACTAAACCATAAATATTTTTGAAACGTCAATATAGAATAGTAGTCTGTCAATCTTTTCATCAGTGAAGCTATGTGTTCTTTCCAAATTGTAGATTTGAATGGAGAAGAACAAGCAAGAACATTCATTGTTACACTTTTTAAAAAAGTGACCCTTAGCATGCCTACAAATATTTACGAGTATGAAATACTTATGGGAAAGTAGAAAAATCAAGGAACCTAATACCAGTATTCTATTTCAGCTACAAAAATTCATATTAAAATAACCATTGCCTTAAACTAGTAATTATTCCTGTATCATGGGTGCATTTACAAATATACAAAGTCACATACATACAGATCACAACAAGACCCGGAACAATTTATGGATCACACAAAGAGAACTTGTTTTTTTTAGTTTATACTAGTTATGTGTATTTGTGATCTTTAAGATAGCATTTAACCTTTGAAAACAATGTGTATTATAATCATAAACAACTTTATCTAGTTTCTTTATGATCTCATTAATTAATCTATTATGTTAAACAAAATAATAATAATATATTAAACTTTTCATATTCAAGAAATCTTCCTGACATAGACAACACAAAGGGGTAAAAAAAAAATGTAATTTAAAAATAAATTATCTGTTTATGTTGCAGCATTTAAATATATTTTTGTTATTACACTTGACTCTTGTTAGAATCTGTTATGACAATTTTACTGACCTAATCAACATGAATTACGATTAAATGAATTAAATGTAATATTGCGCTACCTATTCACAATGTAAACTCTAGCTATAGATTAAAAAACATACATAAAGCATCATATTCAATATGCTTGCTTGATTCTGATTAGCACCCATTTCAGACTGATTATCCTAAAGATACCTCAGTATTAAGCTGCAAAAACTATTTTAAATAAGAGAGGGGTTTATATACAAGTAAATAGGATGAATAAACAGCAAACATTCTTACTTTAGTGGCCATAATTTGCTCATAGTAGCTCTTTAGATCATACTGATCGTATTCATACATTTTTACATCTGTTGAGAGACAAATTCGACAAATTTTTAGATTGGACATGTTTTATTGTTTATATTAAACACAAAAACACACAAATTTCATTAATTATAACACGAAAATTAGTGTAAATAGTATTAATTAATGCCGCGGCATCAGCACAGCTTGAGTATAAAATGACAACTGCAGTGTTGCTAGGAAATAATTATTATATCTCCCAAGTTTATTTTTCACGCCTTTTAGAAAGTTTCTGGTTTTGTTTATTTGTTCCATCTATTACAATGTATTTCAAAGTTCACATTAATTATTTTATAGACAATTATAGTGTGTAGTTTTATTATAAAGCCGTTTAAAATAATAATGTATTAATGTAATTTTATTTATTGATCTGATAGTAGTGTAGCACGTGTTTTTTTGCATCACAGGTGACTATGGCGCGTTTGGTGATTGATACTTGGTAGTTCGGGATATCCGACTCCCTGTTTGATTGGCGCATCATACATTTAAATACATTAGCGCGGGCCGTTGTTTTAAAATGTTGCCGTTAAGAACTAGTCTATACGATGTAAGAAGAAAGAAAGAAAGAAAGAAAGAAAGAAAGAAAGAAAAACCATTTATTTCACACACAAATGACGCAAGAAACAAACATACACGAATATAGTTAAAGAGGGACAAAACAAGCAATGAACATAAAAGAAAAAAAAAAGAAAAGCACTAAAATTGCGTCACTCATGCGTGAAAAAGGACAGCGCTCAGCATAAATGCTGTGTCTCGCGCACGCAGGCACGATACAACAGCGCTGGTTTTCAGCACTGACCCGTAAAAAATTAGTGGTACAAAAGAAGCATTTCGTAGGTACTATTTAGGTAGGTATTACCTTTCACGAATCAGCTGGGAATTGTAGGTATAACTTGACCAACAATTTCCAACACTTTTCTAGTAATCCATAAGTTGATCCGTGCTATAAAAGAGATTGTTTCATTATTTATCAACAAAGATATTGGTTTACGATATGACACTGATACGGAACGATGAACCTTCTGTTTTTATCATATAGGTATTGGATGCTTATCTACCTAAAAATAAACACCCCTAAACTGACCTTGACCGTTACTTTTAGCAAGCTTTGCTATGACTTATAATGGAAAGTATATAATGGAGGTACATCTTTTTAAGAAACTTTTTGTGTTTACCTTTTTGAAGGCGTAAACAGGTTTTTTTGGCAGGGGAAAATCATCATATGACTTCTCCCGCCCAGGATGAGGCGAGAGGAAGTGTCAGACTCTTACTGACTAACCCGCTGGCTGCGATGTTTCTTCTCGCTTACCCCACAACCCCGGCTAAGGGTAAAAAGGGACGTAAGCACATTTAACAGTTCAGTCCATTGCTAGACTATCATCTGCTCTAGATAAATGGCATATTGTCATATCGAGGCAACGACACGAGGCTCACTGCAAAAACTGCGCTGTTTTTTTTGAGGCTGCGTGTGCGAGCATCAGCAGCATTCAACCCCGCAAAGAGACGCAAATGCAGCGTATTTTCTATTTTTATATGTTTATTTCGTTCTTATTTTTATTTCTTTGGTTTTTGTTTTTGTGAAATAATTCTCTTTTTTCTTTTTCTTTCTTGTCCTTTCTATATTTTCTACACTAGGTACGGGGGTCGAATGGAGGATGCAGTAAAGGACGACTAAACTACTACCAAGGCGTGTTTAAGCGTCAATCTTCCGGGCGAGAAAGAGAGATGGAGCTGTACACCTTTTATAGCTTTTACACATTAAGGTAGGCCTAAAGTATTTACTTTTACGGTCTCTGCTAATCTATGATCACGTACTTAGAACACTACAGTTACACAGCAGTTTAGAACATCTCAAGTCTGTCTGCCATCTGCACGATACAAAGTTTTATGAGGCCTTAAAAAGTACTTATCCTGTTTAATGTGTACCAAGTCTAATAATAACTGCAAAATCAACAAAATTGCCAACTCCATTTACTAAGCAGCGAAAAGTGTTGGTCATCACTTAAATTAGGCTCGTCCCGTTAACTGTCTGATGTCGGAAACGTCCCACAAATTCGACAAAGGCGATAGTTGAATAATAGAGGAGCAGGTATAATGGTATAGTTTGACCAGATAAAAGGTTTGTGAATGTGACTGGACAACGAAAATCGAAGGTGATATATTCTGACTATAATAGCTATAACATTTATCCAAGGTCCCCCACCTTGAAGGTGCAATAAAGGCCTCATTCCCTGCTCCAAGCAGGAGGAGAAAGAAGGTGGTTGTTAGTCAGCAAGTTTTTGACATTTCCTCTCGCCTCTCCCAGGGCCAGAGAAGTCACTTCATGATCCCAAAAAGGGTTGTATAATTCGAATTATCTGTTAAATTAACAGTTAAACATGTTTTTAAGTTTATATGGAAACATAAAATTGCTTTTAAAAGACTTTTTTTTCGAAAATGTACTGAATTAGTTGAGACATTTTGAACTATTTTTTTCAAGCCCCATCGAAAAAAAGGTTAACGAATTTTGTGGTAGTCGAAAGAGAAAACTTATTGGCTATGTGAGCAGTCACATATTATAGTGAATAGAACACACCTTAAGGACTATAAGTTCTTCCATTAGTACTACTACTCCTTGTTGCACATTTTCCTGTCCTCGCTACTGAACTACTTGTTTTGAGTTGGGAAAGTCATCAAAAGAAAATTTAAGGTACGCCCGGGACATGGTTACTCGAACTAAGGTAGGGCCCGAACCGCCTATAACTCCCATGAGGAAACATTGGTGGCTTAGTAGACTGCTCAGCACTTCGCCACCATATGTTACATGGTATCCTCCATGTAGTCCTCGCAACGATGACACCGATGAACTCATTTTTTACCTATTTTGGTAAAAAATAGTAGGTAAAAAATAGTAGTAGTATATTTAGTAAATAGAGTGTTATTTTATTTCTTTTTCGCGTTCCTATGGCTCTATCAGTATGTTGTTTGTATCTGTCAGTTAGAAAGCTGGAGAGTCATAGAACATTTCTATAATACGTAGCCAAAATTTAGTTGGTAGGTATTTCATTTTATCTAATTTCCTTTCCTTTTAGAAAAAAAACTTAAGAATAAATGAGTACTCTGGGAACATTTAATTGCTTGGAATAAACAATATGAATATTAATAATTAATTTCTTACTAACTAACCTGTTTCAACAACTTTTTATTAACTGGCAACTTTTTTATCTTTTTTTACAAGCCTGTGATAATCATACGTTTTAATTACCTACCTATTATTTTTTTGGCAAGTGAAGTTAATAATTTTATTCGTAGGTCCTTTTTTTGTTAAGAGGAAAATCATCAAATGACTGATCATCCGGTAGGGAGTCCGGAGGTAGTGTCAGACTCTTACTGACTAAAAACTCCCCGTTCCTTCTCCTGCTCTGGGCCCCGAGGTTACAGTGCCTCATTGCGCTTACCCCGCAACCTTATTCGTAGGTTCTAGGCTGCTAAAGTATTGTAGACTCTATTATTATATTATGCAGTGGATGATACGTACAGAATTAAGTCAATAACAGACAATTAAATAAATAAACCAATTAATTTCTGTCACATAGTTTTCGTATTTGTCAATCCAACAATCAAAAAACACAATAAAATTATTCATTAAAGGAAGCTTCTAGAATTCTAGACCTCATAAAATGCTAATTCAAAGCATGTTCTAAATGCAATTACCACATGTAGTAAGTTGAACAGACTGTTTTAATGTAACTGTTATACGTTTAGGTTAGTTGAAGACTTGCTTGTTACGATGCAAATCGCTTTGCGAGTTCAGGATGGATGTTGGACCGCGCCCCCTTGAAAGAGAAATAACGGGTTGGTTTGTCGTCAGTAAGTCTGATTCATCTTCTCGCCCCACCTACAAGACGGATGAAATAATTTGAAATATTGTCCCTTCAAAATAGTGGTTATACTGATAGTGGATATACTTAATAAGGATTTTAATAGAGCTCTTAGTAGGGTGGTCGTGATTAAAACCTCTTTTTGTTTTTTTAAACACGGAACTTCATAATTCAATTGTTTATTGTGTTTGATTGATAAGATTGGTTGCGGAAACTTGCATTCTCAAAGACCTACTACGTAATTGGCACTTTTACTAACTAGAGGTACAAGTACATCGGCATAATATTTATGTATGTAGGTAGATACATCGGACACAATTTACGACTTCTTTATTGTATAATCCTACTCTCCGACAACGAGCTGTAAATGGTAAAAAAACGTAAAAGGTGACTTCGTTTTGGTAGGTATACCTAGTTACCTTTTGTGTAGTCTAACGTAGGTATCTTCTTGCCAATTATCATGACGATAATTTCAATCAAAATACTTCAAGCTAGAAGAAAACAAAAAAAGGTCACATTACATTCATCCTACCACTTATTAAGTCACGTATGCGCAAAAAAAAGTAGAAAATATAAAATTAAATCCAAGTAATATGTGTTCATGTAGGTAACATTTTTGACAGGCCACAGATTACAAAGTAACACGCAATGTTGGGACTGCCTGGATTGTGATTTATTAGGTTTAAGTCGAAAAGAGTGTGGGTATTTAATATTAAAAGCATGATTTAGGTTAGTATACCTACCTAACCTTATTACCTTATTTTTTTGAGGGTAGATATTTATATTGGCAAATGGCGTAGACTGATCACCCGAAGGTGAGCAATCGGCGCCGCCCATGGGCACACGCAACATTAAATGTTTGTAAATGCGTTACCAGTACTTTTGGGGATTGGGGAGTGGGATCGAGGATTAGGGATTGGGTGGGGATTGGGATTGGGGAATGGAGAGGCAAAAAGATTGGGGATTTGAGTGGGTGTGGATTGGGGTTTGGAGTGAAAACTCGTTGCGTAGTTTTAAAGATTAAACGTATGGTTATAGGGATGAAGGGACAGAGAAAGTGATTTTGTTTTATACTATGTAGTGATTCGTCGCGTTAGTTGTCGTAGTCATCCATGTTATAAAGGGTGACTCTATTGTTATATAGATACTAAAGGGCCGAACCATACCAAACCTCGTGCTTTAACTTACAGATTCTCGAAAAAAAAAAACACTTTTGCTTACACCAGGAATTCAGGCTGACACCAGTTCCCGTGCGTACGGCGCGAAGCGTTCCGCGCGCGCCTCAAAAAGCCAATAA